ATCAAGTTATAAGTTTGCCTAATCAACTATTCATTAAAAGAAATAAAAAGATCACAGACATTTTTTGGCACCGAATACTTATGTATTTACATAGCTAACATCTTAATTTGATTTTTACATTTTTGTCGGCCAATGTTTTGTATCACATCGAATATACCACTATTTTTTGTTTAAAAAAATGGAATACACCTTTTTCATTAAAAGAAATAAAAAGATCAAGTTATAAGTTTGCCTAATCAACTATTCATTAAAAGAAATAAAAAGATCACAGACATTTTTTGGCACCGAATACTTATGTATTTACATAGCTAACATCTTAATATTTTTTGTTTAAAAAAATGGAATACACCTTTTTCATTAAAAGAAATAAAAAGATCAAGTTATAAGTTTGCCTAATCAACTATTCATTAAAAGAAATAAAAAGATCACAGACATTTTTTGGCACCGAATACTTATGTATTTACAAAGCTAACATCTTAATATTTTTTGTTTAAAAAAATGGAATACACCTTATCATATCCATCCATCCATTTTTAATATATACTTTAAATCGGACATCTCTATGCTATGTCCGACAGGTGTCAGAGCAGTGTCCCCGTCCTACATATGTCAGACACTGCATGACTCATTAATTCGAATGAACACCTTCATAATTAATGATTTTTTTTGTTTAATGGTTTTTTTGTGATATGGAAAGCATCATGAAAAGTGAAAATTTAATGATTTTTTTGTGATATGGAAAGCATCATGAAAAGTGAAAATTTAATGATTTTTTTGTGATATGGAAAGCATCATGAAAAGTGAAAATTTAATGATTTTTTTGTGATATGGAAAGCATCATGAAAAGTGAAAAAAATGATTTTAATTTGTTATATTTATTTAGTAGGTATGATAATCTTCAAGTTTTTATTAGACCATCTGTCTGCTCCCGTTTTATTACTCCTAGCTTTTGGGCTGATCGTTGCAGGTTGGGTGTTATCTTTTTGCAAAATACATATTCTTTTAGGTTGTGATGTACTTGGGTATGGTTTGTGACTTAATTCTGTCAAATTTCGTGTGCATAGCGTCAGGATATTGTGGTGATTAGGAGTCCATCTGCATTTGGTGTTTTTCTTTTTCTTTTTGCTGGAAATGTACTAGCAAATGGCTAGCTATTTATAGAATACTTTTATTTAAAATTGTCTATTATGAACGTTTCTTCTCAAAATAGTGCGATCTGTAATTGAACTGGATGGGCAAGTGGAATATTGGGTGCTAAAGCACAAACTGATATAGGTGGGGTTATTGATTAAACTAGTTAGCACCTACTGAACTATGAAATTGACCAGCTATGCATTAATTATGTTTTTTTGGTATTATTTATTAAGAAAAATGCCACTTGAAAGAAGCGTAATCTATTTAAAATTTTCTGTGATTATTGCTTTGGAGAAAGAAGAATAAGGTAGGTATTATCCAAGGCCTCTATTTATTTATTTTATTATTGGAGACTTAGCCTGCAGTAAGATCATGGAAAATTACAAGGCACTTTTCTTTTTGCTGAAAGAAAAAATTGTATGGTACTACTAAGATCTTCAACTATGCCATTGCCAGTGTTGTTAGATAAACACTATTTTTTTTCAGGCTTCATCATAGCCAGTTTAACAGCCTAGTAACTGTTATAGATATTTGATTTGTGGCACGTGGCATGTCCTTACAACTTGTAATATATTGGATGGTGCAGAAAGATTTTGCAAAAAAATAATACTGCATGCACCAGTGTACGGTAAAATACTTTCAATTATTTTTATTAAGTTATTTATTTATATTTAATGTCGGAACTTCTTTTATGTTTAGTAAAATTACCCTGCCTTGCAATAAGCCATCTTGGCCTTCAATAGCGCTTTGTGTTGACCTTTGACATATTTTTTTGACTTTTTGTATGTTGGAAATTCATAATGATTCAGTTTTTTTTAACGGTTTAGCTATACTGGAATTTTTTGTTAACTCAAAGTTCAATACTTTGGGAATCTTACTTCTATTGAAAAGCAACAAAAAGTTTAATATGTTGTGTCAATGCTTTGCAGTCTCCTTGGTTTTTCCATGATTTAATATGTTGATGCAAATCAAACATTAAATAAGTGTCAATGCTTTGCAGTCTCCTTGGTTTTTCCATGATTTACTGTATTACGAACCTGATGCCTTGGGCACAGATATATTTTTTATACAATCGTAAAAATTTTCGCTTAAGTTTAACTTTTGTAGCATGCTTGATTTAATGCCTTTGTATTTTTCTTGTTACTTAACTTCTAACCTATTTTGTTGTTCGCTTGTTGCAGCACGATTTAATGCCTTTGTATTTTTCTTGTTACTTCTAACCTATTTTGTTGTTCGCTTGTTGCAGCACTAATGAGCAGGATTCCAGTAATCAACATGCTAGTTCAAAACAGGTTTTAGGCTAAAATGGCATGTGCTTTCCAGCAAAACGTTACTTACATTATACATTGCCTTCTGTGCTATTATTTGAACATCAAGTTTCATAATTTCTATTTGTTCTGGTTATACTTTTGGTTAAGAACAAATACAAATTGCCCATGTAACACCATAGAATCATTTCTACATTTGACGTTGCTTCTTTTGAAATATTTTATGAGACAATTATTTCTTAGCACTGTTCTTTACAAAAGAAAGGTCACCCTTTTTCTTAGGGCTGTAAATGAGTTGAGTCGAGCTCGAGTAGGTGCCTATTCAATGTCAAGATTGTTTATTAAAAGACTATTTGAGCTCGACTTGACTTAATTCGAGCTATGTTCATATAGGGATTACTGAGTTTATTAATGAGTAGCTTATTTAACAGAGAAATGAATGACAATTAAGCCTTAATCAACTCTTTAATGAGTTTGTTTGAAATCATTAACCAACAATATCAAACAAACTATTCATGAATGAGGTATAATCGAGCTTGTTCTTGAACTTTAAAGAATGTTATTTAAGACATGAATTAACGAGTTATTGAAGCTTGTTCATTTTGCAAAGTGTTCATGAAAGTATTCAAGCTCATTGATTAGCTAATCAAACGATCATGAACGCGTTCTAATTCAGCTGAGTCATGAGTAGTTTGTTGAATGCCCAATTCATTTGTAGCTCTTAAATTTTCTCTTCATTGGAGCTATCCTTGTGGAGATAGGCATTGGTATTTTGATAGTGGTCCTTGTTGGTCGGAGAGGACTTAAGAGAAATTACCCCATGGAGTTGCTTCTCCATTATTTTTTATTGTTTCTTCATCATCCTAAAGAGAATGTTGACTCACTCATCTTGCATGTTTCTCGTAGTTGCAAACCTTGCACGAACAATTTTTCTCCATTGTGTCCTATTCAGTCTCATATTTTCGTTTAAGTCTAATAAATTTAGATCATTTTTTATACAATATGCCCAAGTCTTTTTAGGTCTGCATCTGCTTTTCTTAACATAAGTTAGATTTAAATCATCTACTCTCCTAACTCTCTCATGAAATGATTGACGTTAAATGTAACCAAACCATCTAAAACGACTCTCTAATATTATCTGCCACTGGAGTACACCAACTCTTTCACGGATACGTTGGTTTCATATTTTGTCTCTAAGTGTCAAGCCTCTCATCCATCTGAGCAACACAAAATCTTAAAGCACCATAATAAAAAATATTCTCCTTGATCGAGACTCTTATCACCGATCATTAAAACCTCATGATAGCAATATAATAATTGAAGCTCTTGGACCGAGACTTTTGTCGAGAAAACTTGAAGCATCACTTGTGTGCCTATTAAAGCTCATTCAAGGGCTAAAGCAAGGAAATTCCTTCCAACCTTCAAGCCTATGACTAGGAGGATTCTATTTTGCTCAAACCTCATCCCCCAACTCTCTTCTATCATCTATACTTAATTGACTATTATAACACTCATGGAAATTCTAATAATAGAACCCTTAGCTTCACTATAGTGGATGCAAATCTAAACCTTCAAGCTAACTTAAAATTTTCATATTTTACTTCATATAGTTTTATTCTTCAACATTTTTGCATCTAGTTTAGTTTCATGCTTGATTATATTTTTTTGGGATAAGTACATGCTGACCACCCCAAAACATTGATATTTATAAATTAATCACGCAAGTGATTTTTTTATCAGATTTATTTAGACGTGCCGACAATCAAATTATTGAGAATTTGATAAGAATGAAAAATGTGGGTTGGAGTTTTATCATGAATTTTGATATTTGAGTGAGTTTGAAAAATGGATGAACGAGGGTGGTTAATTTGTAATTAGCAAGCTTCTGGTGGTCTGGTTTTCTGCTATTGATGGTTGGGTTGATTGGGGCATTGTATAAGGTTTGATTTGGTAAGATTAGGATTGGTCTGTGTTTTATGCAGTATATTGTTTGTTCTTTAACCCTATGTTATATTAGAGTTGAGGATAAGTTATCTACATAGCACACCCAATTCTTATATATTTACATATCTAACACTTAAACTTCTCGATCCTTTCATATATGTCATTTTACCTATGAATTAAAGATCTGGTGTTACATTTTTTAAAAGTTGATATGAAGGATTTGAGCGGTATAAATGTAAAAAAAAGTAAAGTTTAAGTGTTAGATATGTGATTACATGGGAATTGGGTGGTATATATGTAAATTCCCCTAGAATTAATTTATACTGAGTTAACCTCTTGTGAAACCTTGTGAAACCTTTATGGTGATATTTTTTGCAAAAAGAATGCAATGCAACTTTTCATGCATGAATAAGGTGGCATATATGTATCAAAATTGAAATTTAGGTGAATAGATACGTAAATACATAAGAATTGAGTGGTATGCACGTAAATCTTCCAATTTATATATGTATGAGCTTGTTGAACTTGGGTTGTTCTTAAGCTATAAAAAATAAGTCATATTTATTTTGGGCTCTAGCTCGAATGTGGATTGTATTTAGGGTTGTGATCAAGCCGAGTATGACATGGATTTAATGCGGCTTGGTTGATCTCATATTTAGTTCGAGCGATATACGTATTTCTATTTGGCCTATTTAATTTTTTTTAATGTTCATATTTGATTTATGTTTAGTTTTTTTTTTATTAATTGAATAAAATAATAATTTGAATGATTACCTAATTTTTTATATAAAATTAAAATTTGTTTTGAATTTGATTTTTCATATAAAATTATTTATAAAATTAAGCTAGAAGTTTGATTGGATACTTGATTTTCTATATAGAGTTATTAGCAAATAATTTTATAAATTAAAATAAAATAATCAATTGAATAAATTTTAAAGTAAAATCTAATTAATTTATATCAAGTAAATAAAATAGTATGTATATATATATATATATATATATATATGTGTATGATTAAAGTTTACTTCTACATATAAAAAAATATAAATTCAAATGATTCAATTATATATAAGATAAACAAAGTAATGGGGAATGATTTAAACATATTAGAATAATGTTATTCAAACCAAAATAAGTTGGATTGTAACACCATTTTATAATCGTTCGCTAATTAAATTTACTGAACACAAACAAACTTTTTGCGCTCAATATATAAACTTTTTGTTCGTGTTCGGCTCGATCTGACGCGAAATAATTAAATTATACATGTATAATCATGTTTTTAAATAATTTAATTGATTACAAGACTAAAAAGATTTATAATAAATTAAGATTATTAATTTAAAAATAGAATAAGTATACATTAACTTATATTAAAATGAATATTTTAATATAAATAATAAGATTTAAATCTCACCATTGCCTCTAACATCCTACATCTGAGTCAATAGGCTTATCAAAGCGGCTTTTTGTTCGCGAACAACTCGTGTTTGACTCGCTAAACAAATCAAATAAACGCGAACAAACTCTTTGAGCTCGATATATTAACGAGTCGAACATAAAAATGACATTTTTTAACTAGCCGAACACAAGCAGAGCCCGAGCCCGCTCAAGCCCGGCTCAAACCAATGACACGAACTTTCACATTACATGAAACAGGGAAGAGTGATGCTCGAGCATATTTAACGCTAAAAAAATTGATGTGTCTTAAGTTACATGCCATAACTTCAATTTTTATACGGCAGCTTAGAACATATCTCTATAAAAAAAATACTGTAGATATGCATGCCCCTAAAGTCAAAAAGTTCGTTACTATTATTAATTAAAATAATTATTTTATAACTAAAGTTAAATTACAAGTCATTTTTAAATTTAAAAGATTAATAATCTAATGGGAGTACTACTAGGCTTCATAATATGTTTAAATTTAAATTTAAAATATCTTTAAAATAATTTGATTAAAATTTTAATTATAACATATTTTACCCAATTTTTCTCATAATATCTTGAAAATATATTACATCAGGACTTAGTGCGAAGTCCAATGAAATCACGCACACGTATAGAAAAAAATCGGTTCGATAACATGGGAAAATATTCCCCTTATGTTATTCAGGTGTTATTGTATGTTATTCAAGTGTTATTAGTGTATTATTGTGTTATTATAACACCAGAAATATTCACAGAACACAATAATACATGAATAACATACAATAACACCTGAATAACATGGGGGAAATATTCTCTGATGTTATTGTGTTATGTGATTTCATTGGACTTCACGCTTAACTCTACTTGCGGAGTCCTGATGTAATATTTTTTCGATGTTATTGTGTTATGTGATTTCATTGGACTCCACGCTTAACTCTACTTGCGGAGTACTGATGTAATATTTTTTCTAATATCTTATATTAGTTTAATAAGTAGATAGATAAAGATATAACTGCCACACTAATATCTTATATTAATAAGTAGATAGATAAAGATATAACTGCCACACTAATACTTAAAATTCAAATAAATAAAATTTACAGAAACTCCCCTCTTAAATCTTCAGAGACGCCGGCCTTCTTCGTTTTCTTGCTCATCGTTACCTCGCATCTGTCTCGCTCATGTCCCTCAGATCTGCCCCGCGAAAGCCGTCGTTCGATCTCCTCGACGGAGAGAGCTCCGGCGACGGTGGAAGTCTTTTCGAACGCTCGATCTTTAACCTAGCAGAAGAGAATGAGTTCATCAATGGCCGCTCAAGCCGCCGGAAACGCAAATCAAAGGCTGCGAAGAAGAAAAAAGCCGCCGGGGAGGGCTCGATGGAGCTTGACGATCGATTTCTTTTATCGGAGAATAACGCGCGGGATGAGATTGGGATGAATTTTTCAGTCTGTGAGAACCGGTCGGTGGTGGAATCTGCTTGCGAGAGCAACGTGGTGGAGACGGACGCCGAGAGCGGTAGAGTGAGTTGTGTTTCCTATGTGGAGTTGAGGCAGAGGTATGTGAACAGTGTTGCTTCTGAGGGTAATGGAGTCGATGATGCAAGCAGCTATAACGAGACCTCGACGGCGGGGAAGTGGAAGCCTGAGTCTATTGGTGGGGCCAACAAGTTGGAAAGCATGGAGTCGTTGGATTGGAAAAAAGTTATGGCAGAGAATCCTGATCTTCTTGGAGGTATTGTGCTGCCTGAGCTATGTTTGTCTTGAACCAATTTTTCATGCTCTTTGGATACAGTCATGTCTACGTTAATTTTCTTTGGCTGTTTAATTTACCTTACGTTTTTGAAGTTTTATACACTTTTAGCTGATGAACTATGAACTCTTATCGAATTTTATTGAAATTTTTTTTTTTCTGGTAAACTCGGTTTGTTTAGCACTTAGCGCTTGATGGTTGTCATGCTGGTAGAAAAAGAATCAGAAATCCTCTCTAGGCTTATTCTTATGCAGAAGTATTTAGTAGCACTTATTTCAAATTCGACGACTGCAGGATGTACGAATGCATGTTGAGCCTTCTCTAACCAATACACAGGCGGGCATACATGCACACGCAAAGTGAAGCACACAGCCTAGGAGTCAGTTTTTGTGCTTTAGTTTCATGTTCCTTCGTGAAGGTAATCACACAACCTATCAATCCAATAGTTTTGGTAGGCACCTCATCCGAGGGCTAGTTTTGAGGCAAATGTTTTGAAGTGATTGTGACTCCTTTAATTGAGTCTAATTATTTGCCTTTAGAAAGTAAATGAAAGTGATTTTGCATTTTGGAACTCATAAAGATGAGAAGAGGGTTTCAATCAGGAGGGCTTGATAGTCAATTGCAACTTTGCTAAATGTAAATAATAATAAAATGATACAAAATTAATTGTCTGATTGATTATAAATTTTCTTTTACATATAGTAAATTAAATAATATAAAATTATGAGGGTTGGGTAGAAATGAAAGTCACCTTTACACAAACACGCTCTGTAAAAGTGTTTTTTTTTTTTAATTAAACAAAAACAGTTCACAGAAGTTCTTAGAAGTTCACTGAATCACTTTCAAGAACTTAAGCCATAAGGAAGTTTACTGAATAACTTAAGCACTTAAGCCTTAAGGATGTACTGCTTCTTTATTGGTTCCATTATCACAAAGGTAGTTCTAAGCAAAATGGAGTTGGCTATGGGGCATCTTTATAATTAAAGAGATTAAATGGAAAAAAAAATAATCCAAAAAATTCCATCTATAACTTATTTTTAGAATTTTAATGCAAACTTGAGCTAATTATTGTAAAAATAGATTCTTCTTATGGGCTCACTGTAAAACTAGAATTTTCTTTTTAGCTTATATGAAATTGTATAAGCTTTATTTGTTTTGTTCTGCTGTACCTATGAAGTAAAGAGTAATAGCATGATACTTTGATACTCAGCCTAGAAGGGAGGTGCAAGATATGGGTATATATTTAGGCAAGGGAAGGTAGAAAGAAGTGGCGGTTAGGGGCTGAGGGATTGAGAATTGCATTAGAGAGCAATTATGAGGTTCATTTGATTAATCAAACTAAGTATTATTGAGTATAGACGCTATAGTTTTTTTTTATAGTCGGGTGCTCCTAACTTCAAATGCAAACAACAATAGAAAATAACATATTGACTAACCCATAAACTTACATTAAATTTAACGTGACAGAAAATAAACATGAAATTAACTTAAACTAAGTTGTTCCCCATTAGATCAAATCAAGGAGGGAAGAACATGCTTCTGTTTTAATATGCTAATTAGTAATGAAGATAAGAGTTAAGCAAGAAGAGAGAGGAAATCACAATGATTGCCTACATTTGCTGTTGATGAATACCTTATAGGTTATTTCTACTCAGTTCTGCAAAAACTTTGCTCAAACAGCTACCTTATTATAAAAACAGGTTTCAAATCGCTTACCTACCATTTTGCAAAGACACGCCTTGAAAGTGCTTAAACTAATTTTTGTATCACGTCAAGTACAGTTTAAATTCTATGGTTTTAAATTTCTATTGCAACAAAAGACCAATTTTCTTGCGTCTGAGATGCTGTTGAATTTAGTTATACGTTGAAAATTATAGCTCCCTAACGACAGGATAAATTCACTCAATGTTATAAATTGGGAAGTGCTGTCAGCTATGCTGCATTTGAAAGATGCAGTTTTTGTGTTCCATCATTCATTGCAGAACTTTACAATTTAACTTAATGTTGCTATTATGCAGAAGTTTCAACTGTAGAGATTGCGCCTATGAAATATTTTATTGGAGAAATATATGGTGGAAATTCTCTTAGAAGCACAATCTCTGTTGGTAATGAGAAGCAACGGCAAAGGGTCTATAATACTATGTTTCATGTCCCATTTAGGTGTGAAAGGGTACTTTCAAATCTCCTTTAATTTCTTCATAGGGGTGTGTTTGAATGAGCTTCATCATGCTAGTCCGTATGATTAATATTTGTGTTGGTATAATACTTGCATTTATAAATTCGATTTTAGTTGCGGTTTTATATGTCATACAACAGTTGTTCTTCAGGAAGAAAATTCTTATGTAGACTATTTATTCCATTTATGATTAAATGCTTTTATAAAAAAGAACATCTTTTAGTAAAATCATGATTGCAATGGTCTATCCAACTTTTGTGATGTAGCGAATATTCTCATGAAAGTTGCGTCTTCAATGACAGTTAAGTAGGTTATTTCAAAATGTTATTTTAAATTATTTGCAATGATTGCAAAGCGGCATCTTTTTGGATATTGAGAATGCTACTGATATGTATTTACTTAATGTCAATTTGAATCAAGTTTATATGTATACTCTGTTTATTCGCTTATTTCTATGGCATTAGTCGCATTCTGATGTTGACTTGAACTCCTGCAGCTTATTATGGCAGGCTTCTTTTTCTGTGTAGATTCATTTTTATCACTGCTAACCATAATGCCAGCAAGAATCCTTTTAGTTATCTGGAGGTTGCTGAGGACCAGGTGAGTAATTTCCCTTTTTCTAGTAGAATTTTTATTGAAGAGGATTTCAGAATTCACTTGGGATTCATGCATCTTTAGAATTTGACCCTGCAAGTTGTTAGCATCTATTTCACGCTTTGATTTTAGGCTCTCCGATAACTTAATGTATAGGTTATATGAAGAATGGATCTAGAGGCATTTGTTGATATCTTGCGAAGTTGAAGATCTTTTTTTTCTTAATTTAGGCTGAAATACTTTTGTAATTTTTCTTATATTAAGTAATTACATCCTTATATGTACGTGTAAGTTCATTGGTCGGAGGGTCTTTTTGAAGTATTCATTGTTCTGTTAAGTTGAAACCACTTTCTACAAATTTTCAGCAATATATTTATGTATTAATGACTTCTTAATTTATGTTTTGATTGTTGATTAACAACTGTCAAAGAAGATTTTTTTCTCAAATTTTGCTTAGTGATATAACACAATTTTCCCTCTTTATTTTAACATTCCACCATTTCTATTTTGTTAATGTTGGTATTTGGTAACTTTTGCATTCAAAATGGTAATAAATGTTTGTAGAAATATATTTTATTATCTAATTTGAATAGCTGTATTGTAAACTTGAGCTAGGCTCGAATATTGGAAACAGCTTCTATGCATTGTTGGGTTTTGTGTGCATTAAAGTTATGCCTTTTTCTAAAATGTAGGCAAAATTCATTTGCCACTAAAGAATATGAACTTCGGTCCCATTTGGGGCAGTATATTTGGTGCGGTGCGTTTTGGAAAAGCACTCAGGCCCGTTTGGGTAGCAGTTTTTTCAAAATGCTGCATTCTCAAACCACTGAAATTAACATTTTCACACCGTTCTTGGCTAGATGCCGTGGCAGTTTTCTAGCTGTGGCCTGACTTTTCCAAGCAAAAAAAATTGTAATAGCCACCGTAGCTTTTTGAACAACAAATTATTTTTCAGTAATTTATCAACAACTTATTAATTAGGTGTTGCTGCCCCAAACAGACCTTTCATCTGATAGGAAACTGTCTCTAGCATCATTTATTAAATCGACATTTCCATATTTTGCGGACACGGGCAAATCCTTGTTTCCTTTTAGTTTGTTGCTGAATATTGGAGCTTAAGCACACATCCACATCTTTCTCAGCCCTACATTAGTTGATTGATTTATGGAATTTGCCATGGTAATTCTCCTTTTTCAATCAACTCTTCTGCTGATTATTATGTGTTTGTTCTGCTGTTGCCTTATTTGCTCCTTTTCATGTTTAGATATTTTGTTTAGGGATTTTCTAGGGAAAGTCCAAATTAAATAAACTGAATATGTGTGTTAGAATTGTACATAATTTTCTTGAATGTGGAATTTTGCACTGCCTGAATAATGCTTTTTTTATAACTTAAATAATCTATACAATTGATCTTAAAATTAACTTTTGGCAGACAGTTTCAGAGGCCGAATGCTGCAGAGTTGTCTGATTTTGGTTGTTTTATGGTGTTGGTTCTTGGAGTCGCAACTTTACAGAGGACAGGTAGGGACATTTTATGCTCTTAGAAATGGTTCGACTAAATGGCAATTCTAATATTTCAGCACCTTTACATGTTATAAGTTATAATTTATGTCTTGGAAACATGTTCTCGTTAAACAAATGCATCATAACCATCTTCTATAAATTATTGCCCCACTTATCCAGATATCAGCTTAATATACCACATGATACGAGGGCAGGGAACTGTCAAGCTCTATGTGGTTTATAACGTCTTAGAAGTGAGCAACAGATTTTTTTCTTTGTATATTTACTTCTATTTTATCACTAAACTTATTGATTACAGTCTTCCTTTTTTTTTCTTCGTGATTGTGACAGATTTTTGATAAGCTTTGTCAGTCCCTTGGTGAAGATGTTTTGCAAGTTCTGTTTAGCTCAGCAGAGGGTCTTTCAAATTGTTCTGCAGAAAATTTCAAGCTTGAAATTAGCAAATTTGCTTTTGACATGGCCATTGCTATCGTTGCATTTAATATCCTTAATAAGTGATGCTCTGTTCTTCATATAAATTTTTGTGTGTGTTTGTGTGCCCAATTATTTAATATCTTTAACAATTGATGTTATTCAATTTTCATGCAAATGGTCATTTTGGTGGTATCCTTAACTGTTAATACTTCTTCATTCATTTATCTTATTAGCGCAGGCAGTTACCCTTTCAACTTGCATTATTGCCCACAATAATGCTTTGCTTGCTTTATTAGTGTCAAATAACTTCACTGAAATAAAGAGCAATGTATTCAAACGTGTTAGCAAAGACAACCTACATAATGTTGTGTATTCAGGTTTGTTTTTTTTTCTGAATTTCATAAATGTCTCGCGGATGTATATTGCTACCTTGTTTGTTGTGAATTTATGATGACATTGAAATAGGAGTCTGAAACACTTACCAAACCAGAGGTTGCTTGGTAGTTCTCATCAGGAATGTATTCCTGAGTAGATCCATTTGCTTTTCGTTGTTCGTTTTGAGGGATCTACATACATACCACCCAAATCCTATATATTTGCATATCTAACACCTAAAATTTTCTTTTCTTTTACTTTTATACCACCCAAATCTTTCATATTACATAAAAATATCACTAAAAAGGTAAAATGCACATTTTCATGCATTGTCAATGTGGCATGTATGTAAAAATTGAAGTTTAAGTGTAAGATATGTGACTACCTAGTAATTAAGTGGTATTTATACAAATCTTCCTTTCTTTTTTGTCATTTTCTACAGATTTTCTTCTATTTTGGAATGAATGTATTGAAATTAAATTGGTGCTTGCATGTTTCTCTATGTGAGGAGCTTACTTCCTACTCTTTGATTCAAAGTTTTTTATTTGAACACTTATCAAATTAGCAAATTCTATGCATACATCTATAATAAATCGGGATATTAGTATCCCTCAATCCAATTTTCATCCAGAGAGGTAATCTGTATTGTATTCCTTTCTGTAGTTTGTGCATAATCAATATTTATGTACAATATGTTTAGCTTCTACTATCGCCCCTTTTATCCTACACTCTTTTCTGAGAGAATTTTACCAATTTTCATTGATTTTCTATTATTCCAAAATTTATAATTATTCAAGGTATTTTTTTAAAGTCATTTCTTGATGGCTGTTTATGAGCAGATATAATAGAAAGATTCCACATTACAGCCTTTGTGTTATTTGTACTTGCTCAAAATATCTTGGAGGCAGAGGGTTCCTGGTTTGAGAGCTTTCTTACGGTAATTTCCACATATTTGGTTCATTGGGTAAATCTAACTTGTTATTTTGACATAGCATATCTTTTGTTTTATCAGAATGCTTTCATGGTTTACATGTGTGAAGTACTAATTGATTCAATCAAGCATTCTTTCCTTGCAAAATTCAACGATATAAAACCAGATGCATACTCGGAATTCCTAGAAGATCTCTGCAGACAGGTAATTCATCGAAACTATTGAAATTTGTTTTACCTGTGCCTTGTTTCTGCTCAAGAAGAATCATTTCAATATCCCGTAGAATAATAGTATTGGATGATTGTTTCTTCTTATATCCTGAAATTGGTTTTATGATTCATGATTATAATACGCGCTTCTCAAAGTCTCGAAGTGCTTAAAATGAAGTGTCCTTCATCAGATTGAAGTATTTGATGAAAATGCATTTTATATTCTCAATCACCTTGCTCTAGAACTCTCTTGTTCTACTGCGATGACTATTTTGTGAAAATTCTGGACATTTATTAAAATATATTGTACTAAGCTCGAACTGAACTAAATTTGACTTTAATTGGCAATTATATCATAGTTGTGTGGGTTCATTCTCATGTTTACAAATTACTTTTGGATTGTGTTTAAGAATGAGGTAACCAACTTAAATCAAGACATTCGTTATGCTAAGCTACTGTAGTTTAAATTTGATGACATCTTATTTCAAAATGATATGACGAAATACAATAAAAGATGAATTGTTATTCAGGCAAATATTTGTTGCTTATTAGGAACCATTGATACATCTCATGGGTTCTTCCTGTAAATGTCTAAGGATATACATATCTATGGTAAATATAATACCATGTATGTGTGTTGATGGGCATAATATGTATAAGATGGAGGGAGGGCAGGCTAAAGTTTATGGGAGAGGAGGAGGAATTAGCTATTTTGCAAAATAACTCTAATGTTAGAGGAGGAGCAATTAACCATTTTGAAAAATAACCGTAATGTGTATTCAGGATGTTTTATTATGTCAACAGTTCTTTGTTTTGAATGGATTAAATTTTTTAGATGCTCACTTGAATGTTTTTCGAAAAAGTGATCCTAGTGAGTATTTGACTTTTTTATGTCTATGATAAATGGAATGTTATTTTAAATTAGTAAATTGAAAGAATAGTAAACAATGAAATCCTCTTCATTGGTTTCAGCACGAAAACAGATGGCTACATACAGCCAAAAACAAGCGGTGGAACTTGAAATATAAAATGGAGAATATATTGATTTTATAAAATTTTTCATTATAATAATATAATATCTAAAACTTAATTTTTTCCGTCTTGCAAAATCCTTGTGATAACACTCCTTTATATAACCAACTATACTCTCAATCATTAAATAAAAACTATTTATTCGTAATATATCTATGATTAGCTTTATAGTTAATTTTAATTAATTGGCTTCTTTAACATTTAAAGAATCAATACCTAGCCTAATGGCATAGATAGTTTTTAACTAAATACTGATTAGGAAGCTAGGCATTGTGTTTCATCCCAACGAGTGGAAAACCTGAAACCCATAAAGGTTCTTTTAAGCAAATATACCTGATTCCTTTCTGAAAAAAAAAAAAAAAAAAAAAAAAACTTAAAATCTTAAACTTTCATAACGTTGTGCTGTGGACTTCAACAAGTGGTTTGTACCTGACTAAATGCCTAGAAACTTATTTTATTTTTCTATAAAGCATAATTTGACAATATTGTTAAAATAATGACTTTATGCTCTTCAATCTTGTAGCATAAATGAAAATATTAGTAGTGTTTAGTCTTCACTTGATAGAAGAATTCAGGTTCTATTTACCAAGTGAGGCGGGATAAAAAATAAATTTTCACGCTTTTCTTTTCGTCATAATTCAAGTTAGGAGATATGATCTAGTGAATTTGTAATTTTTATTTATATAGTGATGTAGTTCTTTGGGCGTTCATTTTATTTGTATTTTACTTTTGTATATATTTTTGTGCTTTCAGAAATGTTGTTCATTGCCCTTGATGTACGCATATCATTTAGATTTGTTCGTGTACAACGTGAGGTAGAAAATTCACCTGTTGTACGAATTAATGAAATTAGTGTCAAAAGATTAGGAAGAAAAAATTCAACCTACGGTTACATGGATAATACTTAGTTAATTTGATCTGTAAAAATTGTTCATAGTTCAAAAATCACTCAATTGATGATTCGTTATGTTGACCCCAAATAGTTGGTAGAAGGCTGATGATCATTTTGGTCTACTGAAAATAGGATAATTAAAAATATACTTCAAAAGAAATAGTACGAAAGTTATGTAAAAAAAAATGTTCAAAATTGATTTATCAACTTATGCAACATTTAACAAAATGAATAATAATGTGGATCAATAACCCAACCCGAAATAGTTGACATAATGATCATTGAGCAATGATGACGATCATTGATTGTATTTGTAACAGCTATATGATTCTCGCCTTTATAAATCTGTTGGATTTATCATTAATTTAATTGATAAGGTATAGCTTGCTCTTTCTTTTTGCAGGCATAATTCAACAAAGTTAATAGCAATTTTAAATTATTTTAATTGTAAATGAGAAAATCTGCTTCTTTTTAATATTTGATTCGTTTACATATCCCAACGTAATCCAGTCTATTAATTTCTTACGAATAGATTTAATATCTCAGATTTTGAAAAAGAATGAAAAATGAGGATTTACAAAGCTGTTCCTAAATTATTTGGATAAGCTTGATGATGATCTTAATCCACTTTGTTCATTTATTTCTAATACATGTTGGTCATTTTAGACTTCAAATAAGATTGCCAAGGAAAATCTCATTCACCATAAAGTTGAATAGCTTGCTTGTTATGACGTGTTTTCATCCTTTTTCTTAGATTCTTGTTGTATTTTCTAAATTGGCGCTCATTTTATGCATAATTTTTTCTTAAGCGGAAATTTAAATACTTAACATCCAATTCTTATGTATTTCCATATCTAACACCTAAACTTTTATATTTACATTTATAACACCCGTGTTATAAATCTATGCATGAAAAATGTTTATTTCATTTCTAAAAAGTAATTAAAAAGTGGTATTTTTTATGTGATATTAAAGATTCAAAGATTTGAGTGCTATGCATGTGAATATGAAACTTTAGGTGTTAGATATAGAAATGCATGAGAATTGTCTGGTATGTATGTAAATTTCCCTTTCTTAAATTGGTAATATTTTGTTCAGTTAAGCTTGGCAGAATATATATATAATCATGTTTTGCATTCCTATCTTATATATAGTGCACATAGATTTCTTATTCATTCCTGAATTTTAAACCAAATGTAAATTCAAAATTTCCAGCATATTCAGAAATATTTCCTGTCTTAATTTTTTCTTGTGCTTATTCATATTCCTGTGTTCCAGACCCTAAATGAGAAGGCCGAGGATCGTCCGAAAGTCCTTCCTTTCATTCCCATTGCTCCAGCTTGTGTGGTCTGCTCCTGCTTCCAAAATTTCTCCTCTCCAAAGCTTCTCTTTTCCTTATACAGAACTATAAAACTCCTCTTCCATTTAATGCAGGTCATCAGAGTCTTAACTCCAATCTATGCAACTCTTCTTCCCTACGGCCCTTTCTTGTGGAGATTATTTTGGATAATTATCTGGTCAACCCTCACATATGTCATGCTTGCCATAAGCAAAATAACGATAGGTCTCGCCCTTCGCCGACTCGCTAACTCCTACTTGAATTTGCGGCGGGAGAGAAAGCAGCACGTGGATTGATTATTTCTCACTCTTGGTAAGATTGTTCTTAATATTTTGGAGATCATGATGCAAATTTTCCATTTGGTCTCGATTCATTTGAGAGGATGGATGGCTTAGTTTGCAGTTTCAGTTCTTACATTTCTATTCAATTTTTTTTAGAGCAATGTTTTACTTTAAAATTTTCAACATCAGATCTGATGATATAATAAAAAAAAGATAAGGCATGATGTTCATGTGTTCTGATTATAATTGTTTTGTGATGCAATTTTGGAAATTTTGGATTTATTTGATGTCAGTGTCCTGCAAAAATTGATTTATTATTTATATATTTATTTCACTTTTCTTAATGTAAATTGAAGAATTTTAATACTCATATTGACCAAATTTTGATCAGGATATTCTTATTTGATTCTTCTCCATAAAGATAAGATGTGCATTCTAATGTTATTTATTTGAGATTTTTCTTTAATAGTCATGTGTTTGAGTGGAGTGAAAAAAGCATTACTTTCTCTTTTAATATTGTGATGTCATTTTTCTTAGATATAATGCATTTGCACTATTGCTATTTACAAAACAAACCTGCATCATTCTTTCCAAACTGTCACTCAAGTATAAAAAATTACAATAACATTTCAAATCATGATTTTCATTTTTATCAAATTCCTAATTGTTTAATGGTGGTGAGAACAAATAGATTGGCTTAGTAATTCAACAAATGTTCTCGGTGATCATTTTGTAAATAGCAACAATTCATTTGCAAAATTGCTTTTGGATTTCTTGCTTTCATCTCTGTGTCCTTGGCTGACATCCTAGTTTCAAAATTCTTAAATCAGTCACCATCGCATGCCTCCAGCGGGAAAAAAATATTACATCAGAAGTCTTGATATAAAAAAAATATCAGGACTTCAATCACTGTCTGCCACATGTACAGTACGGGCCCACTGTGCTTTAAATTATTTTATTTTATTTACTAAGGAGGCCCGGACTGTACACATGATAGACAGTGATTAAAGTCTTGATGTAATATTTCCTCCTCTAGCGGGGTGCCAACGCGCCATTTGTTGCTCTACCTCTAATAGTCCTATTGTCGTGGGTGGTGGTTGGAAACCAGCCGGACATTGTTGTCATTCTCATTTATATTTGAAGTTCTTTGGTTTAGTGACTCATTATAGTCTTCAACTTGGTTTCATGTCTTTCTGGTTTGGAAACTTATTGAAATTTAGGGTTTAAGCTATAGCCAAAGACGAGCAGATCTTTGTTCTCACTTTCAGTGTATTATGCTTGAGATGAATTGGGAGCTTTTGTTCAGAAAATAATTCACTAGTGGGAGAATCATACACAAATATTATGTTATGAACGCTTTCAAAGACATTGCTTTCCCTGCAATTTATGCCATCAACTGAACATCATTTGCTACTACAAAACATCAATTTTCTTCTAAATATTTTTATATTTGTATACTTTGTCATTTTTTTTTTATAGAAGCTTACAATATTTTTCTAATGGATGACCAAAATTCTTATTCACCCACCATTTAGACTTAAAAGTTAATTTGGGAGAGATATGTCCCACTTCTATGTTTTTGTAATGATTTAAGGAACCTTCTTTCATACATTTCTCAAGTTCTCATCCAAATATTAAAATTCATGATACATTTTCAGCTCATTTTTGTGTGTTTATCAAAATTCTCAATGTTTTTTATGTATATATGGATGCATGTTATGTATAGCCCCTGATTTTAAATCGAGCTCAAAAAAATTATTCGTGTTTGGCTGCCTTGCTTAACAAACAAGTTGAACATGAGTCACTGAACGAGTCGAACATAAGATATACTCGAACAACGGGATTTTTTAACAGCCCTGATTATCACGCCACTTGAATCTGTAGTCCTAAAAACTCATTTGATGAAAAATGATACTGATTGAACATTATGATTGAAAATGATCTTGATTTAAATTGTGAAGAATGAGTATCTATTCTAATTGTACAGCACTAATTAAAACCTCAAACGTGCTTCAATTCTTCCGTGCTTATAATTAGAGTAGATATTCATTCTTCACAATTTAAGTTTAAAATTGTAGAGATCTTAAAAATTTTAAGTACTTAAATTTTGCACGACGATCAGCATCAACAATCGTTGCCAACAATTAAAATTTATCGACTACTATCATTCAATCATCATGATGTAACTATTGGCACCGAAATGCTAGTACATCGACATTATTGTCCAATCATCACTCGTCTAATCATTAGCTCAACTATCATCACTTGACTGTTGTTATCACCATTAATATTTCTTCATTATATTTCTTTTATCATGGTACACAACTTCTATCTCTGCCATGAGAGCAAGTGTTAGTAACTTCATCATTTTAAATTCTCATCTCCCATAAAATCATAAGAATAAATCACTTATTTAAAGTTTAGTATATTTTAATTCTTTTTTTAAATTTTTTTAAAAAATATTTTCTCCCACACTAAAAAACATTTTAGTATAAAATTAAATCATCTTTAAAACAATAATGAGGCATCCAACTAAATAATAATTTGAAGAAATTCCATAAATTTCAAATGATGTTTTCTAGACAATTAAACGAGCCCTTGCTGTGGAGAAAGTATTATGCCCGCACATCGGATTTACCGCACGAAATATTTTCTCATCGCTGTAAGCTGTAAGGGTGAAAATACAATTCCACAACATTGGCTGCAACATCATTCCTCAATCAATAAATATACTGACAGTACATAGAATATATATATATATATATATATATATCTATATTTCAACTGCTACAAATAGGGCTGTCATTTTGAGTCGTGTTCGATTCGTTAAGCAGCTCGTGTTCGGCTCGTTCGTTAAGCTTAATGAACTGAACACAAAACAAATTTTTAAGCTCGAAATATAAATGAGACAAACACGAACAAACATTTGTTCGCTCGTGTTCGGCTCGAAAAGAAATGAATAAATAAATATACACCATAAATTTAAATATTATAAATTATAATTTATTAAAACTTTTTAAAATAAAAAATTTTATCAAATTTTATAAAATTAAATCCTATAAATTATAATATATAACAAATTAATAATAAATATTACTTATACAAATATTATTTATTTATATAATATAAATTACATAATTAATATAATATAATATATAAATATAAAATTAAAAAAACCCTAACTTGTTACTCCTAAAGCCCCGACCGCGACCTCCCTCTTGAATGTTCTTTGGTTCGGCTGTCTCTCCATCTTCCGACTCTTCTCCTTCCTCTCAAAATCGCGAAGAGAGTTCGGCCGCGAGAGCTTAGGGTTTGTGGTTTGTGTTCGTTGCCCTCCTCACTCTTTCGAGTCATCTCCTTCTCCTCTCAAAAACACGAAAGAGTTTCGGCTGCGAGAGCTTAGGATTTCTTCTTTCTCTTCATCTTCCTCTTCTGATTCCTCCATTTTCGAACCGAACTCAAGCCCGAAAATATTATTCGAGCCGAACATGAACACACCCTTCACGAGCCATTTCGAACACGAGCTAATATCGAACGAACCAAACACGAGCCGACCCTGAGCTCAGCTTGTTTACAACCCTATGTCACAGACAAATATTCCCACATCGGCTAGGTATAGGACTGAAAAACAATATTTAAGTCCTGGGCTGCCCACCACCCATAAGGGCTCTTTTGCGAGGTGACAAATGATATCAGAACAGATTACTGCATGCCAGATATGTGGACTCTCCATGGCCCAGTGGGACCCTCGGGAGGGGCGGTCCGGGACGAGGGCAGAGGGCATCACGTGATTGGGTAAAGGAGAATGTCACGGACAAATAATCCCACATCGGCTAGGTGTAGGGCCGAAAAACAGTATTTAAGTCATGGGCTGCCCGCTACCCATAAGGACTCTTTTGGGAGGTGACACCTACCTACAAATACTTCCCAACCAAAAGCCACGCTCAAAACCAGACGCAATAGAATAGAGGAGCCCAGAAAGGAGAAGAGGAAGCAACCATTATAATTTGGGAAATTTACATACATACCACACAAGTCTTATGTATTTACATATCCAACACCAAAAGTTTGAAATTTACAGTTATGACAATTCTGTATCATAATCATATACATTAAAGACATATTTTACTCTTAAAAAATTAATAATTGTGATTTTTTTTTCAATGTGATACTAAAGATTTGAGCGCTATGCCATGCATATGAAAGTTTAGATGTCAGATAGATAAGTATATACAAAAGAATTGTGGTATATAACTAAATGCCATATATAATTTTGTTCAATATCTATCACATGCCTCCAAATTAAAGCATAAAAAGGAAAAATATGATCTAAAAATACACACCATGGCATAAAAACAAACAACAATATAAAAGAATATGAAATTAATAGTTTAAACATACAGTTCATTTAGTTGAAAGAAAGGAAGATTAACATACATACCACCCAATTCCTATGTATTTAAATATCTAACACCCAAATTTCAATTTTTATATACATACCACCTACAATATATATATATATATATAAGGAAATGATATTTTTGATGTGATATGAAAGGTTTGAGTGGGGTATAGATGTAAAATGTAAAGTACAGGTGTTAGAAACGTAAAAACATAGAATTGGTTGGTAAGTATGTAAAATGCCACAAAAGAAAAATAAATAAAGGATTAATAGACTATATAAGATAAGAGTGCGTAAGATTCTACATGATATAAAACCCTGTCAGTGAATTATTAGTTTAAATAATGGATTGAAGAGTTAGTACAGCTGGGGGTGGCATTTAGAAGAGCATCTGAAACTCAGATCATCTCCTCCAATACTCAGAAACCATACTAAGACAAAAAAGAAACAAATTTGAATGGCAGACAAACACAGCGAAAATGCCGCCGCAGCTTCCGGCCCCGATTATGCACCAAACTGAATAATTGATTATTCTAAAGTTAGAAGACAAAGGGAATAAATCTATAGCTATCCAATACCTCTCTACCAAAATGGCACTGCTTCATGAGTTCGATGATCAACAGACTGTTGAACAGCAGCAGCTTAATCCGAAAAGTCAGCAGTGGAAAATCCATTTGATTGATTTAATCTTCGGTTCTCTTCTCGATAACATTTGGGGGTTTTCGATTTGGAAGTTCGAATATTAGGCCTCATCCATTTGAAATCCAAACCCATGACCTTCGGTCATAGAGTCGCAAACTTTGGCAAAGGTTTCGGAGCTCGAGCATGACCGCTCTAGTCCAAATTCTTCGTTGTAAAATGATCCGTTGCATTTCACTTCGGCATGATCGTGAGGACGACCGTTCGAGGAACCAGTTGAAATTGAAGTCAAGTTAGAATCAGAAGACAATGCGTCGCCACTAACACTGCCGTTGGGCATAACGATATCCGGCTCGGATTTTAAATGGCCGTTAGAATAGCCATTGGCTTTGGAAGGCCAGGAAACTACATGGTTTTCCAACTGAACTGTTTTCTCGCCCCCCGAAGTCTTCTTACGAACAGGCTTGTCGAGGAATCCACGGTTGAAGATTGGCTTCGTCTTTGGTCTCGACCCATCCATCGAAACAAACCTTTCACGTTCTACGGAAGTATCTGATGTACAGATACCATTTGTCGGGATGGATGAAACACAATTTATCGCCGGTGGTTCCGGATGAGAGCAGAAGGATGATGTCGGTGCCTTGTCTGGGCTTGAAGTAGAGATAGATGTGGCTGATGCTTCTTCCATAATTATATCTTTACCGGTGGAGGATGGGTCCGAGATTGCTTCAATAATAACTGATTCATTGCCTTCCTCCATATGCAAATTTGAATTTGCAAGATTTGAAGCTTTAGATGGGATGGATTTGATTGAAGGGCCATTTTCGAAAACATTTGCATTTTCTAATTTGATGTCATTTGCGCCAGATGGATCAACAACAGAGTTATCAACGCTAAAATTCCAGGCGAAATTCCCAGCGCAATTAGGTATCAGGTTGAGATGTCTGTCATGACCATTATCTCTTAAGGTTGAGAATTCAGATGGCGCTTCCGAATGCAAAATATTTTGCTGGGGTTCAGAATCATGCGGCATGGAGATTATATCACAGGCAGACGATTGTGTAGTATCTGGAGATTTTGAAATTTCGAGATCAGTTTCTGCTGAATGCATCTTTGTAGTAGGCTCCACAGGCTTGACAAAAGGATCCTTTCGTGGATTTATCCTAATCAATATTAAAAATAGATAATTAAAATTATTATTATTAAGAGCCATTTACATACATACCACCAGATTCTTATGCATTTACGTATCTAACAACTAAATTTTACATTTTAGGTTTACACCACTCAAATCCTTCATATTACATTAAAAAGAAATAAACACTATTTTAGCTTTTAAAAAGGTGAAATGCAACTTTTCATGCATAGAGAAGGTGGCATGTATGCAAAAATTAAAGGTAGGTGCTAAATATGTAAATAAATAAGAATTGAGTGGAATTCATGTAAATCATCCTTATTATTATTAGACTTATCCTAAAACTTACATGTTTGAATGAACTAAATGGTGTTCATTAAATATTTTGATGTGGAAACATAATATCATTAATTTAGTGTATCAAAAACACAATGTGATTGAAATAACAAGGAAGTAGCTAGTTGCTATAGTGTTTTTATACAATTACATTTAACTACAGAAGCATTTTGAAACATTTTTCTAAACTTACCTGTGATATAATAGCATATAAGCAGCTTGAGACAATACTTCCTCCACTTCAACTTTAATGACCTAAAATATCAATGTGATGAGCTCCGGAACCAAGAAAGAATTGAAATTTGTTTTAAAAAAGGGGCATTTACATACATAGCACAATTCTAATGTATCTACATACCTAAAATTTCATATTTACATACATATCACTCAAATACTTACTATCTTATAAAAACTTACTATCATATAAAAAATAGCACTATTATCATTTTTAAAAAGTGAAATACACCTTTTTCATGCATAGGCTTAAAGAATCAAAGTGCTATGAATATAAATATGAAGGTTTAACTGTAAGATATGTAAACACAAGAATTATGTGCTAGGCATGTAAATTTCCGTTTAAGAAAATGTTAGGAGGAAAAACCTTGCAATCATCAATCTTATACCAGATGCCCCGATAATCCTTGGTATAACAAATGTAATGGCCGAAAAATGAAGCATTTAGCATATCCAAATGAACAATGACGCCATACAAGGTATAGTGGTCGGTATCATCACCGCTTGCGCTCATGTATGGAGTAAGATCCAAATTTTCAGGAAAAGTTATTCTTTTGTTCAGTTTTCCAAACCTACCGCTCTGTATAAGAAGAGATGTCTTGAGAATGAAAAAGTGGCGATTGGTAAATAAAATGTTGGCGCAGCACAAACCTGGAATCTCTTGAGAGTAATGGTGAGAACGTTCGGAGCCTGATGAACTGTAAGTCTTTTCCATGCTTTGACGTAGGCGTTGCATCTGATTATAAAACCAACAAAATATGATAAGCCTGAAATAAATTCATCAACATGAAGTGAAAAAAGAAAATTGCCTCATAATTGATTATGGACTTCTATCAAGCAGTTTTTCAGTTTAAATCAGCACATTGCATAGATAATGATTGGAGCTGCCTAACAAAGTCTTAGAAGGGTAAAAAGGTTAGAAATTTCATTGAATGATGTACACTAGATGGAAACATGGGCAGAGTATGCAGTTTTACGGTTAAAAATGTTAAATTTCAAAGGTTAGAGTTATTTAACTTTTAAGTAATAAATTTATTTACGGGCAATCTTTTCCTTTGGATCGAGGGTTCTATAGATGATATTTAGTTATCATATTTATACATGATTATACAAAAATGCCAACATTATTAAAGATATTGAACGAGTATGCAAGGATAAAAAGGTTGGAAATTTTACTGAATGTACTCTGGAATGAAACGGGCAAGTATGCAATCCTATTGTTAAACATGGTGTATTTAAATGATATTGTCTGACATCAAAATAATAAGTTAAATGTCAGACTACCTTTCATTCTACGCAAAGTTCATAAGATGTAATGTGCTTCTGATATATAAGCAATCTTGTGAAAATTGATCAAGAAGCATCGTGCCTCCACAAATTCACCCACTATTATTATTAATTAGGAGTACATACATACATACCACTCAATTCCTATGTAATTATGTATCTAATATCTGAACTTCAATTTTACATACGAATTGAAAGGCATGTATGTAAATGCCCCTCTTAATTATCGCCACATAGTTTAGGAGATATACCCAATATATCTCTACAGAGTTAGGTTTCTTGCGGTTGTTCCTAGCGGCTAATATTATGGAGATTCTAATTTATAGTATGCAAGATAATAGTGGAAGCTTCCATGCATACACAATCGGTTATAATTCTTTAGGATGCATCTCTCTAGGCTCCAGTTTTTCTGTAGAGAAAAAGTTGCAGTAGTATACATTGAAGAGCAGCACCAAAAAGGATATTGGTTGAATAAAAAAGTAAAATAAAAATAAATAAATAAGTAATAAAATAAAATAAGAAAAGATATTGGCTTATTGTCTTGGTTGTTGATAACTCCGCCATTTCTGATTTTTTTTAATACATTTATTATAGTCAAAGAGATTGATAGCTTAGATTTTGAACTTTGATATTCAGGTAGGAGTTGTACTAAAAATGATATATGTGTAATTGTAGATAAGAGTTTGAAATATAATAGTGTGAAAATTAATAAAATTAAAGATAAAAATATATATCTAAAGATTGTTATTTATACTGGGATTCTTAGTCTTATAAATGTTTATGCTCCCAAATAAGTTTAGATATATGTTCAAAAAAAAAAAATGTAATGACCTAAAATAATTAATATAATGATACCTCTCGAAAAAAAATTATAATAATAGATATAAATTGACATGTTGGAAGAGTGAGAAAATTTTAGAATCATTCATGATGGCTATAGTTTTGGAATGACCAATAAGAAGGCAGAGTTATAATAAATTTTATTTCATCTTATTATTTTATTATTGTCATACTTTATTTAAAAAGAGATAACCATATTATTTTTTATAAGAATAAATATAATAAAATACAATTGATTATTTTCTTATGAGAAAGATGTAACATCGAGATTATAAAGATTATAAGATCACTCAAAGTAAAAGGCTTAAGTACCCAACAAAGATTATTTGTTTTGATATTTAAGATAAAATACTAGAAGATGAAAGATACAATAAAAATATTATTATAAATTTAAATAAAGGCACTGAAGAGAAACAAATAAAATCATTTTTATAAATAAGCTTTAAAATCTTAAGATTTTGGATGTTCATAAAGAGGCTCGCACTATGTGGAATAAAATAATGAGTACTGTTAAGTAAATTACATAATATGTGCTTACAAATTAAAAGAAAAAGCTATTATAAATAAAAATAATTCATAGTAGAATAATAATGTGTAAGAAATGATAAAAAATAAATTTTGTTATAAAAATTGACCTAGTAAAAAATCTTGGTGAATTGAAAAAAAAAATTAAGGTGGTGCGTATGGAATCTAAGAGAATAACTTAAAATGTTAAGAATTCTATTTTTAGTGATTTTATAATAAATTTGATATTGAATAGTGAAAGATATATAGAAGCTAATCAAGGAAAGATATAAGAAAAATAAATATTTAATTCAAGTAAAGTGTATCAAGGATGAAAAAACAAATCTTAGATAAGCATATTCAACATAAATGAGTGAGATATTATGATAATTTTTTTAAGGAACTTTGTAAAAATACGATAGATTTGGGTGATCTTAACATCGTAAATAATAACAAAATTTGACATTTTTACCAACACATTAGTAAAACGAAAGTTGAAGTGACTTTAAAGAAAATTAATATGGAAAAGTAGCAGGGCCTGATAGTATTACAATAAAAGTGTAAAAATATTTAAGAAATCTAAAAATTACTTGATTTACTAAATTTTTTAATATTTTAAAAACTAAAAAGATGATAGATGAGTGGAGAAAGAGTCTATTAGTTCCTAAGAATATAGGGGATACACAAGAGGACAACTTGGGGAGAAATTACATTAATGTGTCATACATTAAAAGTTATGGGAGAGAGTAAATAAGCATTAGGTTATGATGTGATATAAAAATTTCTCAAAACCAAATTGGACTCATGTCGGGCAAGTCTACTGTGGAAGTTATACATTTATTGAAATGTTTAATGGAGAAGTATAGAGAAAGTAAGTAAAGTATTGATGTTGCTTGTATTCAAGTCATAATATATATATATATACTAGAAATGTTACTTGTGTTCACACACGATGAGGATTGGCCAAGTATTTCCTATTTCAATTGAATTACATCAGAGATTGGTTTTAAGCCCATATATTTTGCTTTGGTTTGTTTTAGTTATGCATGTTCTTATTGGATGTATACAAAAGGATGTACCTTGATGTATGTTTTTTGCTATTATATCGTTCTTGTGGATAAGAGTGAAGAGAGTTCAAGTAAAATTTGAAATATGAAGGTCAAATTTAGAGTCTAAAGGCATTCGTTTGAGTAGATTTAAAACTAAATACATGGAATGCAATTTTAGGGCTAGTAGATCCATTGGCAAAGTTTTAATAATGGGTGATCATGTCATTAAAAGGAGTGAACATTTAAATATTTCGGGTCTAATGTTCAAAGCGATGGTGATATAAATGAGGATGTTATTACGACACAAAATGTTGGTGATATAAATGAGAATTCAAGTTGGATGGTTGAAGTGGAGGAATGCATTAGGCCTACCGTGCAATAGAAAAGTACCGCGTAGACTTAAAAAAATAATTTATAAGATGTGGTGAGATTTGCAATGTTTTATGGCACAAAATGTTGGTCTATAAAAGAAAAGCATAAAACTAAGTGTTGTTCGGATGAGAATGCTCAAGTGGAAGAGTGGTTTTACACTTAGAGACAAAATGCAAAACAAATATATCCGTTGAAGGGTTGGAGTAGCTCCAATGGCAGACAAGATAAGAAAGATTCTCCTTAGATGATTTACTCACAATAAACATCGACCATCTGATGAATCAATTAGGAGAGTAAATGTTTTGAATTTGACTCATGTTAAGGTAAAGGTAGACCTAAAAAGACTTGAGCATTTTGTATAAAAAGGGATCTTAAATTATTAGAATTAAATTAAAATATGACACTCAATACTCAATAGGACACAATGGAGAAAAAAATTCAAGTAGTCGATCCCATTAAGTAGGATAAAGGCTTATTATTGTCGATATATCTAAAATGTGGTCGGCATCTATACTTAAACAACTACTCTTGGCATTTAACAATCTTTATTAATCATTTGACGATTCATAGGGTCCAATTATTCCATAAGTACAATTCTCTAATTTAGTCTTATCGATTATACAACATTAATAAAAAAAATCACTCGAGTTAATTAGGATTAATTTCGTATCACAATTTCTAAACGAACCATTTTAGATCAATTTTCTATAATCAAGGAAGAAAATAGAAAATGTGATAATTTGGAACAAAATTAGCCACACAAGAATAATCAAGTAGATTATTTTGGGATCTAATCCATCTTTTTTATGATGCCCAACTAAAGAAAATTTTATTCAAAGGTATGTTCTCTTTTAAAAGGGCTAATGGTAGAATAGTATACTCTGCTACGAGAGGATTTGATGAAAGGAGAAGAAAACAAAGCAAGGAGGACAAACTAATTCAAGGAGGACACGTCATTGGATTGTCAGGAGTTAATGGGTTTGGTCCTTTGAAGTCCAACATGAATAAAAGATGGACCAATCCCAAGATTTATGAAATACATAATTGACAAACTAATTTAATTTGATAAATTTGGAGTTTATATTGTGTTATTCATATGCAAGTACATTGATAGAAAAAGAAATTAAAATGATAAAAAAAATTGTGATAGACCAAGCACACAAAATTCACATGAGAAAAATATTATGGATAGATAAATGATAATTTCGACAATAAGATGATTGTCAAATACAGCTAAATTCCATTTTCCAAAAATTGAAAGCCAATTCTATGTTTTTCTCAAGTTATAAAAACCCATAAATAACAATCTAAAGTACTCAAATTCAGCGCCAATAGTCATATATAAACATATGAAAAAAATCCCAAAATGCTTGGAATTTCTACGAGAGTGTCACCTATGATTTGTGGCCATGCATGAAAGAATCGGCATATTATCATGTATGGTCACATAGGTTTGGTATGCACATTCCATGAAAACCCCTAACTTCCCGGGATTCTTTTTGGGGAGTATAGCATTACACAACATATTATAGAGTATCAAAAAACTCAGAAAAAATCATGTGAATATTGCATAAATTCAAATATAACCATGGTGCAAAGGTGATTAAGACATGGCATAAGGCATAAGGCAATTCAAGCAGTTGAAACAAATGCAGTGAAAAAAAGAATCACAAATTTGAGACGAAATACAACCAAAATCGGACTTTCTCATAGAGTCAAACAGTCTTTAAAAAAAGGCTCCGACATAGCTTCAAAAAGCTATTAAAAAAAAGACAACAGAAAAAAGCAAAATACATCTACTTTAAAAATCCCAAATTTAAAATTAGGTATATATTTTTTAAAAAACTTTACTTTCTGCAAGTTATATATAATTAAATTTGATCCAGAATCATTGTCTCCACATAGTCAAATTCATTTAAACTTTTTTTTCTGGAAGGTGAATTGAAAAAAAAAAACTCTCTAGTGGTATACTTAAAAGAGTAAATAGGCTCAGTTTCTATTAGGGTCACTATTTTAAAAATCTCAAGATTAAAATTAGGTATATAGTTTTTAAAAATTAGTTTCTATTAGGGTCGTTTACTTTAAAAATTACAAATCGGGTAAACCCAAACAGACCTGAACAAAAATCCGATCAACTGGAACAAAAAATTTAAGTCAAAAGTGAGTTGGCTCATTTTTGACACTCTTAAATCAGCACACTTACTGATAGAACCTTGAGATTGAACCGAGCTAGCATCATTAAAGCCAATGTTTTAAAAGTTGGATCAAAGAGAACGTGGACGGGACCCTCATACCATCCTACCTTGTCAGTATCGGAGTTATCATCACAAATGAGATTGGGGATCTTGTTTTGGCCTAGAGATAGCAGCTACAACATTGGGATAGCTCACAGGTCGAGCTACAAGCCATTGTCTCTCTCCACCAGATCACTGAGCTATGGGTGCTGGTGCAAAGGTAGCATCGTTAGCGGGGAGAATGTAAATGTGATCATGTTCATTAGGGAGTTTATGCAAGACAAAATCGCGCCCATACCACCAAACCAGCCCAAGCTTTGCTTTCCTACTACAGTTCTGCCAAGTGATATATTTCAACACATATCCAGAGATGGAAATAGAGTGACACATTGTTGTGCTCACCTAGCCCTCCAAAAGCATTTTACTTTAAAGGATGTAAATGAGCAAGACGCTCTTTTTTCTCTTGTTTTAGAAGATAGGATTCATATTCTTAATGCCTGAGGGACAACTTTGTAACATTTTGTAACTTTTTTTAATAGCAATGCAAATGCAAAATTTTAAGGTTTGGTTCGTATACAAAAATGTTTTTTTTCATAGAATTGAATAAGAAGTTAGAACCATAGTTGAACCAATTGCAGTTGTGAAAAACTGCCCGTCTCCTATTTTGATCAATTTATTACCATTTATTTTTAATCAAACGACTGAAAATAAAGAATTTTAAATGAATAAAACTACATAATTTTTAAAACCTAATTTCTAACACCTCAAACTTCCAATTACATAGATTGTCCTAGACTTCGTTGTTCACACTCTGTGAACCCTCCACCCAATTGCATACACGTCCCCCCTCTGCCTTTACCTCATTCACATCAATTGAATTCCTTAGTTGAATTTTATATTGTGCACCTTTCTATCTTCCAAGTATCCTTCATTTAGTACTTTCAATTGTTAAATTTTTTAAACTTATTATATTTTGCTGGAACTTGAAAGATTTAAGAATATACTTTAGTTATTGTTATTTTGGGTTATATACAAGAGACCTAAAGAATACAAAATTCATATAAAAATTTTGACTAATAAAACTAAATTTTAGTTTTTATAAATTATTATGCATTGTTACATGTGAATTCTCTGAGTGTTTCATAAGTATTAATCATTACTTTTGGGGACTAATCTTTGTTCCAAGCCAAGACCTGGATCTTCAATTAAGTGATATAAATTCTTATTATTTCTATCAACTTGTTTGGTAATTAGCGAGTGTGCTTGTTTGGTGTGTATGTGAATAAAGTTTTGTATAGTGTGTTATGTATTAAATTCCTTTTTGTAGCATAACTCTTGACTGTTGAAAATTTGATATATATTCACTATATTTTGTCAGATTGCAAATTTTGAAACATGTTTGTTGTGTTCGCATTAAAGATATCGAATTTTTGCTGAAGATAAGAGTTGAAAACTTGTGGATTGTGATTTTTTGGGTCTTCATTCTGCATCTCATCCTAAAGTATATTAATAAACCCTAAAGTGTCTTGAAATCACATAAAAAAAATCTTATATTTTAAAGAAAAAATAAAAAATAAATAGCCTGCAAATTATGCACTAATTTAGAACTAACCATGCTCAAATTAGAGGACTGGGTATGACATGACGCGCAAGTTCTCATTAGATGCGTCTTTGTTGTACAAAAAAATAAAAAAATAAGACTCATCAATGTGATTTAGTTTGCCTCCAATGTGACCCGTGTTCTCGACATGAAAACAATCCTTTATAATAGAAGGATATGAAACAGCATGACCACAAAAAGGCTAGAAAAGCTTGTAAAGAAGAAGCTATAAAAATGAAAAGATGAAGAAAAAAAGTGAGATAAGCTAATCGCATGATTGAACAAGAAGAGTAACTCCCTTGAAAGGTTTTAGGTTTCATACTAAATCAAAGATCAAAATCTCAAGATATAAGAAAGTCTCCACATCAATAACATAAATTTTCTTAATTCCATAATCTACCTTATAACCCATAGAATATCCATATTTATAGATTGAACAAAAAACAAACCGTTATTAAATTGCCACTAGGTTGTTAACAAATTGTCAATAAATTACTAACAAATTCCATACAAACTTAATAAAACTAACTAGAATAGCAGTGACAAAAATTAAAAATAAAATATATAAAATAATTCAAACATCTATTATAAATTAAAATTTCAAAATATATGTCAGCATTTAGATATAATGCTTCATATGTCAACACACCACGCACTAGCAGAAGCCTCATGAACGTAGTATGCTATTCAGCCATTGAATATCATGTTTTGAAATGCGTAGGATAGTTTGAATATGGCTATGCACATAAAAAGGAGACAAAATCAAGTGTATACCATAATGCCATAACTGCGTATTGACAAAAAAAAGTTTCATAAATAATTAAAACTAGTGGTTTAAAAACTAATAATAGTGAAAAATTGAAAGACATCATAAATATCAAGAAAATTTTGCATAGAAACATAATGATAACAAAAAACAATTGAAAATGCTCGTCATTATGAGAGCCTAAAGACCAATTGCTGATAAGAACCTTTGGAGTTTAAATATTATTTTTAACAAAAGTTTGTAAAAATTAAAAATAAACTGCTTTGTAAAATGATGGGCAGAAAATATGTCCATTAGATAAGTAGACAGATTGATGTGGGCATCAGGAAAAGGAAAGGGTTGACCTAAATTGACATGGATAGACATTTGAAATGATCTGCAAATAATAGGTTCAACACATCAACCAACATGACAAAAATGAATGACAAAATGAGGATTCGTACAGCCCACACTTAGGATAAGAAGATGATGATGGCAAGATAATTTTTCTTCCAATTCAACTGTTCTATTGATTTTCTTCCTATTACGTTGAAAAAGATTCGAGAGTAGCCATAAATTGGTCATTCATGACAGAGAGTGGGCCCTGATGGATGTAAGTTAATAGGGAAAGCGCTGAGATTCTTATAACTATAAAGAGCAAAGTTTCAGAAAACACAATTTCAGGTGAACCTTAATAAGCAGCAGTTCTCTTAAGATTGGAAAGAATTCTATAAAAATATTATTCGCATATTTAATTGGCCAGATTCAGTAATTTAGTAAATGCAAGCGTATTGCAACAGGGTTAGCATACTGGTTACAAGTCGATGATTAAAAAAGAATCAACCAAAACATATCCTTGTTAACAAAACTGAAAAAATAAAGGAGTTCAAAAAAAATTAAAAAATCTAGTATGTTTTCATACTTTAACTGATTAGCTAGATATTATAGATGGGGCCACTGAACAAAAATAAAAAAGGGACCACAATAATTTCTCTGCATTATGCAAAAAACTAATAATGTGTCAAAAATTAACTTTAACCTGTGCAATATGATGGCCAATAACTAGAGGAGCAGTTCGCAGTAAAGTAACAATTTAATCCATAGTTAGTCTCTGTATTTGAACCAGGAAAAAAAAAAAAGATTCAGACATTCATTGCATGTTTTTAATAATTCAATCCACTATTACAATTTTCCGCAGCGAATCGAAAAAAACTTGCAGCTCACAAAAAGACGCATAAGAGGATCAATGCCATGCTATACCTAAATAAAAAATAATATCAAATTTATCTTCAACCACCCCCATACACTAAAAATTACACCTACCTCCCCTGCCAATCTAAATGCTGCAAAATCCTCCATGGACAAACAATTAAAATGTGTGTTCAAGTTGATCAAAATATATAAAGGCCAAAATTTAGGTTTAAAATGTAGACATGCTTAATTTTTAAATCAAAATTGCGTTGACTCAAAAACCAAAATCAACTAAAGAATAACCTATTTAATTTTTTAGTCTAAAATAAATCCTCTACTTGACCAGTCAATGAACATCCTTCACCTCAAGGGGACATATTTAAATCAATTGGATCATGTTGACACAAAAAAATTGCATAAACATGTAATAAATGGGTCGCATGTTAGGCTTGGGTCAATCGAGTTTATGTTGAGTTATTTCCAGGTTAGACATTATGACCTATATAATAAATGGATCAATTCAAGTAAAAGAATGTCAATAAGGCCAAATTTGGGTCAAAACCAAATCTAAACCATTAAAATGAATCAACAACCCTAGTATATAGAGCAAAAGAGAGATGAGAGTAGTCTTAAAATCAATAGAGATGTAATTTTAACCTAAGGAGGTTAAACTAACTAAAACAATTAATAACTACAGCACCACAATTTTTTCAGTGCAAAAGCATAATTAACAGTATAATTCCAATGGATGATACTTTAATTACAGTTATAATTGTAAAGCTCTCATACAAACATGAATCAAAATAATAGTGCCAACAAAAAAGGGCTCAATGTACCCAAATGCAACATTAAGGATTCTTACCCATCGCATTTGTACATATTATCCCCATCAAGCCACTCCTTAACCGTAAATTGATCCAGGCACTCCTCCAAAGATTCAGAGTCCCCATGTATTTCAACTGTCAGATCCATCATGTTCTCATAACGGTTTGAGACCACATCACAGTTTGTACATATTACCTGACAGTATGCATCAGTTTAAAAGAAGACAAGGAAGATTGGTTTGGAAACTTGAAGTACAGTGCTAGTAATAACTATAAATGTCCGAATCAAATTACAGAGAATTGATAAAGAAAAGAGATAATCAGGAAAAAATTAGGAAAGGAAAACCAGAAGTTAAGTAACAAAAAGCTAGTTCTATTCCAAGGTATATCCCCCATGCTAATAGTGTTCAAATGTCACTGATTGAAATTTGATGTTTATTGCGGCAAAAAATAATGATCGTCTCTTTCCTAGCCAAATTTTGACCTAGTAAAATTAAAAAAAAAAAGTGGCATTGTACATACTCATTTGGGAAAAATGTCATCATCATTGGCATGCTCACTAGCCCACCCAAATATTATTCGGGATCAACGCAATCTTAGTAATCTGGAGCTACCAACTCCTCCAAAAGCCTAAACAATGGAGAAGACGCCGCCCATACTTTATAGCATAACTGTAGAAGGTCCCCTAACCTTTAAACCCAAATCTATGAAAAATCCACACTGCTAAATGAACCAACTGCTAATTATTATTGAATGCAATTTTGCATCCACCATAGACTATAAAAATTGTGTTATTCTGCCCTTCCAAAAATCCTTCATTATTCTCTCCATTACTATGGCTGTATATTTGCGCTTTAACTTTTAACTTGTTCTGGTACAAGTTGACGCAAGCCCAATCAACACTTTGTCATCAAAGGTCTAAAACCACAAGTACAAATGAATCAAGACTACTAATGAAACAATCATCTATTGTATTCATAAATAATAATCTATTGTATTCATAAATAATAATCTATTGTGGATAAATGCAAGTTAACTCATAAGTCCATAGTGGACTATGAGATATTATATTTGTTGTCCGACCTTATTGGTAATCTTTATCATTAATTGCTTCAATGCAAGAGCCTTGTTTAGAACCATTACTCATAAAAACGTTATTGTAAAAAAGACAAAACAAAAACAACAATCACGGTTTGTAAATGAAAGTAAAGCATCTCACACTACATAATTCCCACCGACAACCTCAACCGGAGCAAGTCAACAGTTACCATAACTCGATCATCAATTGCATTTGATGCAAGACAATTACCTTATAGTTGATCGTGTATCAGAAGAGAAATGATTGGTGTTATCTTACCATTTTGACATTCTTTGTCATAAATTGATGTGAAACCACATCAGCCACCATACATAAGTCACAAACTTTCCCAGTTTAGTTATTTTTAACCTTTCATTTCATAAGTCATTGAATTTCATGCTCCAAAATAACAAAAAGAGAAGTGAATTGGACAAAAAAAATGAAGTGACTTGGACAAACTTTCTTTGTCGATAGCCCCGGACAAATCAATCGAATATTGATGATTCCTATCTAGTAAAAATACTGATCACCTTGGCTTTACTGGCCAAACAATTTTAACCTGTGTAACTTTCAAAGGAGGTCACACATGCTAGAAATGTTTGAACAATAAGCACAATGAGTTCGCAGTTCCTAATGTCACACAAGTCATCAAACATAAGGCAGCTCAATGTTTAAGAGTTTTGTGCATTGTATTTAGAAGATCCAACGTTATAGACATAATAACAGAGATAGTGACTTGTGATTGAATGATCATAAGTGTGCATTTTGAATTGCATCAATTCTCCTATAATACCAAAAACTTCACATGAGAAAGTAAACTGTACTGTTATGCATGGGAAGTCCACTTCAAAAAATTGATGAACCAAAAATTAATCCTCAAAAGGAAAGGACTAATTATTTTGCTATGGGGAAAGACAAATTGAAAAAACGATATCAACAATTTATGTAGAAGACATTCATCATAGATTCCCCCGAATAAAATTATCAATGGCCCTGGAAAGTAACCTTCGAAAGCCTGGATTTCTTAATGTACAGAGGCGGGTTAATTTAAACTAAAAAAATACATTTAGCAATAATGCGATAAAGAATAGAAATTTTCACCCCTTTTGTCATTTTAGGTTCATGGTAACGGTAGTTAATTGGGTCTTGGTTTAGTTAAATAAACTGGACTGGATCAATAGGTTTTGGATAACCTAACAAGGCTGGCATTGGTTTGATTTGGATAAAGGTAGAATTTTAACCAAATAAAGGAACCAGCAACATGAACCAATAAAATATTCTTAATTTAAACATAATAATGAAGATTGACCGATTTATAAAAAGTTTAATTCACATGAGAAAACTGAAAGAGAGCAAACTCTCTATGGATAGCATAACCATGACAAAATCTAGTAGTCACTTATCTAAAACATTAGTAGACAACCATGGCAAATAAATCAAAACAGAAACCAAAAGCCTAAAAGCCTTCAGAGAAAAGATAACAAAATTATTAACTAAAGTGGATCCCGTATATTGATGGAAAGAATGCAGGTAGAGAACTGCAAAAAAAAAAAAAAGAGAGGAAAAGATAGATCAATTAACAACAGAAACCACATAGCTTAAATGCTCTTCAAAAGAGATGAGAAACGTATTTAAAAGGGGAAATATACATACCTAGCACATAATTCTTATGTATTTACATACATCACACCTAATTTTTATATTTACACGCATAGCACTTTGGTGCTTTAATCCTATGCATGAAAGGTGTATTTCACTCCTAAAAAGTGCTAATAGTGTAATTTTTTATGTGATATTAAAGATTTGAGTGCTATGTGATGGAAAGAACGGAGATAGAGAACTGTAAGGCAAATACATAAGAATTTTGTGTGATATAAAATTTTAAGTGTGAGATATGCAAATACATAAGAATTTTGTGGTTTGTATGTAAATTCCCCATTTAAAAAATGAAAGAAATGCAGTGATGGAAAGAACCGAGATAGAGAGCTGCAAGGCAAGGTGGACAAGAAAATTTACTCCAAGGTAATTCCTATATATGCAAAAAAAAGATTTCGTGATGAAAATAAAAATCAATTGTTTGAAGCTGATATTATTTTGCAAAGCCATGGACCGAGACCATCACTTCACCTCAAATCAATTTGCCATAGCATACCTTCAGAGTATTAAAGGCACATATGAGAAGCAAACAATCAAATAACATTTCATCCGCAGCAAATAAATTATTATAAAGCAAAGTTGCATAATTCAAAATTCTGAAACACGATGACATCAAGAAAGAACTATCAAGTAATAAAATCCAACCTGTGATCGGAGATGGCCACCAAATATGTACTGGACAATAGTCGTCTCTTGTGTGCTAGGATCCACAGCTTTTTCACCTCCATATTCATCAAGGCAAATTGATTGCATTGTATCAATAGCAAACCTAAACGTTGAATAAATTCACTACACTATGAAAAACCATAGATGCAACAGGCTGATGACAAAAAGAAATAGGAAGATTTACATACATACCACTCAATTCCTATGCATTTGCTTATCTACACCTAAACTTCAATTTTTACATATATGCCAACCTACCTATGCTTGAAAAGGTATATTCCACATTTTAAAAGTCAAACTAATGATATTTATGATATGAAATATTTGAATGGTATAAATGTAAAAAAGTTAAGTTTAGGTGTTAGATATGTAAATGTATAGAAATTGGATGGTCTGAATGAAAATGTCCCAAAGTAATAACTTGAGCTTATCAAAATGAAAGAGAACGAGAATGACCTCATGAATTCATGAGCATCCTCCTGTCTTCCATATCCAAGGTTACCACCAATATTTGGTAAACGAGAAAGAATATTAATGGGCGAAAAGGCTTGTGAGCTTTCACTAGCTCTTTTAATGTGGACTTGCAGCTCACACAGGAAACACCAATTATCTCTCCTCCTCAAGCCTGCAAAATGATTCATTGACACAAGTAAGAAAGGTGAATAAGAAATTAACGCAAAGGTATGAGATTGGGACTAAAGTATGCAATCACATACATCCTCTATTATGGTCCTTCTCCAATAAATAGGCAACAAGTGGCCGTGTAGATGTCAGACATTGTAAAACCACATTTGCAAAGCAACTGCAGCACATATTAGAAGTGTAATGAACCAAGAAATTATGGGTAAGCTAATTACACTAGCGAAGTCATAAACTATCAAAAAAATTAATTTGATGCTCTAACCTGTTCCCACAATTTAAAAGCCCGCGAGGTGGAAAAGCTGGCATATCCCAGACAAAAAGCTTGACAAATTCATCATATGGAAAAAGGATCTGGAAAATAATAACTGTGACAGTTGTAAAAGGGAAAAGGAAAAAAAATTGTCATTTTAAACTGATGCCTCAATGAAGCGTTACCTTTTTTGGTTCTTTTAGCACCTTACGGGTTCCATGACCGGGCACCAGTGAAATGGCTGAACATTTCCTCCTTGCACCTGTTCCAATGGTATCAAACTTATCTGCAGAACCAACTTCCCTGCATTTTGACTTGTGCTCGGCTTTCCAATGATCTGACTGGCATACTTGAGAGCTGAAATTTGAAGTACAACTTTAAATTTATAATGGAATTCTCAAATGATAAAGATAAGCGCTATGGAAACAATACAAACATTCAAGAAGGATCCTTTATGTAGCACAGTCATGAGCTTGTTAAAACCACTAGCAAGAGGGAATGTCACAAAACTCTGCAATAGATTAAAGTTTCAAAAATAAGAAGATAGTATCTATGCACAGAACTAATTGTCAAAACCTTAAGTTACACAATGAAGGGAACCCAAGAACGTTGAATCATAAACAAACTTTGTCATTAGGAAATGAAAGTGGGGAAAAAAACACATTATAGGCGGCTTGAGTACATTCTACTGATGATTATTGTGCCACGTTAGTAATTTGATGATACCAGATCCTCTCGTGTCACTAGTATTATCAAGTACTTCATACAGCTTTATCTAATCATAAGTCATAACAACCGTGGAGATGATCATGTTCATTAACAAAGTTCACTAGGCATGCTTGGATGATGTGTTCAATAGTTGATCAAAATATTTAAAGGTTCTATCTCCTAGAATGAGTTGCATTATTAGCAAAGCCGAAAAGATGACAAAACATAAGTATATAAATATTTTTTTTAAACAGAGAGAGAGAGAGAGGGGGGGCCCAGGATAAGCAAGGCCTTCAAAATAGAGGCACTAATAGTTTGACCCTGCTCAATGTAAAGATTTAAAGAATACAGGCAAAGCAGGGAAAAAGAGAACATCTATTTGAGAGAAATCCATAATTAAAAAGTTCTTTTGTTTTCTTACTTGACAACAATTTACTGAAATGCCCACAAGGATTGTCCACTAGTCATGACAAGCAATCATGGAACCATTAACAAGACACTTAATCTTGAACTAGAATTATCATAGCATAAAATTTATTTAAAACGAATGAAGAACTAGTTATGTAGTTATATTAACTATCAAGGAAAAGTAATTGAGGTTGAGATCATCCGCGATAAGTACCATCAGACTATGGATGATGGGAATGGAAGAGGATATAAAGGTCCACTTAGATATGTATCCAAATTATATGAGATAACTGAAATTATGGATACAGAAAGTGAATTTTTTTGTGGTTATTGTATTTACAATAGATAACTGAAATTATGGATACAGAAAATGATTTTTTTGGGGTTATTTTATTTACAATAGATCTGCGTTGGCACAGTTACATGATAAGCCTTCCCATATTTTGAGGAGTATGAAAAATTATGCAAGAACTCCATAGATCCATGGAAGTTGATATCAAGGCTGCAGGAGTCCAGAAAGAAAAAAAACCCTAAACCATAAATCATAAAAGTAGAAGAAAACCAGTATGATTCAAGTGGTAGAGAGGGAGTGAATAATAATGATCTTGAGTTTGACAACTTTGATCTTTATAAAGAAGAGGTATACCTAGTTAGGCTTGGGTGTAGACACCACTGGCCCCCAATAAGCGCACAATAAATATGAAGAAGCACGCACTCAAAAACACGCATCTCAAATTCTCAATGTCACAATGGGTCGAGTTTGTAAAACGGCCCAGTATAGGTGTCGGGAAACGCAAACAAACATTGGATTGAATGGGAGTTGGAAATTCTCTCTCAATATCATAGCCGATCTCAATGGACTGATGGTGATGCGCCTTGATTTATATCTAACCGGTTGCTTTAGTGCTTGCGTAGAGCATTCTAATCAGCGCAAAACCTCAATAAATACTAATATCACTATCTCATTTAAACTTGCTACAAGCTACTGAAACGCAATGGTATAATCATTCTAGACGAAAATTTAGGAACGGAACACATTCAATGACAACCAAGAAAAAAACACTCAAATCCTCCTTTCTGGCAAAGGATGACATTTAAGTTATTAGGATTTAGTAAATCTCATAACTTTGGATTTACTAAACCCTGAATGGTTTAAATCCAAAAAACAGTTTGGTAACGGATTTCCTAAATCCTGTAAATCCAGCATACTGTTTGGCAAGTAAAACAAACAGAATAGTTCTTCCACAAAATCCCATAAAACCTGTAAGTCCGCCGATTTGTGGGATTTAGTAAATCCAGGATTTACGGTCGAAATCCATGAAATCTGGATTTATCAAATTTGCGGCATTATTTTGTCCAAAATGACTGTCTGGCAAGATTTAACCTACATCCAGGTTAAATCCAGCTCTAAATCCATTGCCAGAGCCCCTAAATGATCATAATTTTATTGTGCTTTAACCAATAATTGATTTTTCGATTCAAGCTATGCAAATCTTAGGGATTTTGACCATGTAAATATTCTGACTTCATCTTAGAGAATACTATATCTTACTCCCCTGCGTAATGCCTCAGGTACTCTTGACAGATATTGATTTTCAACCAACAGTCCACCACATTTCTCTTAACAATGATGGCTCAACATTGCTTCTTATTGGTTCTGAAGGACTGAGTGTCATGCATCTGCACGAGAGGACTAATACAACTGATGGCAAAATATCTTGCAGGTATAGTAGGTAAAACTTCAGCATATGTTTTACTATTACGTTGAATACTTGTTGCAAGTGAATAGAGAGAAATACCAAACTGAAAGTATAATAAATATTTAATTTTTCTATATAATGTTATTTGCCCCTTTTTTTCCTGTTTTAATATTCAGAATTAGTTAGTGTTTCATTCTACTTTAGAACCTTTTTCTGATCAGAAAAAGGACGTCTGTTGGTTGGCTTGCTAAGCCTCTATGTTGGTGGTATGGATCCTTATTATGTTTCCAGGGTTTACATGGATCATTTCATGTTGTTCTCCTTAAAATTCTGTAAATATTGACCCATCTGCCTCTCCTAACTAACTAGTTTTTGTGCTTCTACTATTTCATTGTAGGAGATCTTATTTGCTAAGTTGATTAATTTTTACATTGGATTTCCAGTTATTCATTTTTCTTTAACTTTTCACTTTCTACTGACTTAAGGGCAGAAATTATCATGCGTTTACCAGTATTGTTGATTTCATCTGCTCATCTTTATGCAGTTGTAATTGCTATTTGAATTGGAAGATTTGCTTTATTTGAACTTGGGTTTCCATGGTTAGGGAAAAGCAAAAAATCATTCAAAATCATTTTTTTGCAATTCACTGATAAAAAAACTAAAAACATTCAAACCAAACAGAATGAAAAGGGTAAGAGGGCTGAGCCAAAAAGACCCCTACCAGTACCACACGCTCTTGCACCTCGAACACTTTTTGCTTGCCGGTCGCGCGCAAACAGGGCATTCCGATGCCCCCGCGCCTACGTTACTCCCGACGGATCCGATAGGCATATGGTATCGATCTCGGAACTCCTCGTTGCCCTCAATATCGGCGTTCAAAGCGAAGGGCCAGGTTACGGCTTTTCTGACGAACAAAACCCCAGCGATGATCACTACCAGGCAAGTCCACGCGAGGTGATAGAGTGCAGAGAGATCCAGCGCGGTTAGAACAGCGCCGAGCATCTAAACATAGGGTTTCCGCCGATAGTTTTTTAGGGTTCTCATCGATCGGCAGCGAGTTGTTCCAAACGCTCGATCTCGAGAAGACGATTACAAAACTAGAAGGAGCGAGCGAGACGAGGGACCGCCTCCCGTTGCCTCCGCTGCTATTTCTCCTCTCGATCGCTCAAACCGTCCTGATTCGGATTGTATTAATCATCAGTGAATTATAGGCTTGATTGCCGCCATTGTTGCGGTGACGGAGAAGGGGAAGGTAGGGCTGTCAAAAAAGCTCCTTGTTCGCGAACTGTACGTGAACAGTTCGTGTTCGTGTGTTTGATCGTGTGTTTGATTCTTTTAGGAGGAGGGGGAACAAAAGTTTTTGGTTGGGTTAGACGAGAGTCATGATTCAAATGGTTCGAAATATAAAATAATTTAAAAGAATTATATATAAAAAAATTATATATATTTAAAAACATTAAATTTTATAAATTATAATATATAATAAATTAATAATAATAATATATTAATATATTATATTAATAATATACTAATATAGATATTATATATTTATATAATATAAGTTATATGATTAATATAATATATTATTTATATATATTAATATTAGGGATTTATTTATACATTAATATTAGGGATGTCAAACCGGCTCGTCGTTCGCGAACAGCTAGTGCTTGGCTCGTTCGTTAAGAAACTAACACGAACAGTGAATTCACGATCAATTTTGAACACAAGCTTATTTCAAACAAACTAAATTTTAAACGAATCGAACACAAACACGAGCTTTGTTCGTTCGTGTTCGGTTCGTTTACACCCCTAGGGGAAGGGGTGGGTGAGATCTGCAAATATTTGAAACATTACTAGCATACGAGAAAATTACGGTAATTGATATCGAATAAAACGTGTGAAACTATGAAAATTTTATGGGGGGTCAAAATTTAATCATGGGCATACTTTCTCTTTGGCTCAGTTCAATAATCCGAGAAGTAGGGGTGTAAACGAGACAAACACGAGAGAGTCTAGGCTCGAGTTAGGCTCGTTTGCATAGCGAGCCGAACATGAACAATTCACGAGCAAAGAGTCGTTTTGGCAACTCTAATCACATAGTCATAAAATGTCAAGGATTGTAGCAAGATTTAAGACATCACTTGAACCTAATTTAATAATTTTTATTCTATTTTCTTCATTAATATTTTTAATTGATTATAAATCTTTGTAGCCTTGTAGTCAATTAATTTTTTTAAAAATACTACTCATCAAAGATATATATGTAATATTGATTAGTAGTATTTCGAGCAGCCAAAACGAGCCGAACACGAACGAACAAATATTTGTTAGTGTTGTTCGTGTTCGACTCGTTACCTTACTGAACGAGCCGAACACGAGCTGTTCGCGAACAACGAGATGTTTTGACAGCCCTACCGAGAAGGTAATTTATTTGAGAAATAGAATCATATGTAGATATATAAATACACAACTGCTTGACTCCAAATTTTATTAAAAAGAACCAAAAATAAAAATTTCATTTAAAGATAGCAAACAAGCTCCATAAATAATTTCATCTAAATCTAAAAAATCAAATTTATTTAATGCTTATAAATATAATTGGTTTATAGCATAATTTAAGCTTCAAATAAGCTCAATTAAACTTTAATTTAAATTGTATTTATATATATTAAATTACATTAAAATTTAATTTCCCGTGCATAAAATAAGATAAAGACTTACTTGTTTAATTTTTAATTTATTTTATACGTTTATATGCTTATTTTAATTATTCTTTTAATGGCTCTTTCATTTAAAAGCTCATTTATTATGATAAGTTTAATAAATAATTCACTTATAAGCTCGAGAAAATAAATAGTTCAATTATATTACTCATTATTTTATTTGATAAGTTTTATTTAGTTAGAAAATAAATAGCAAGAAAACACTAATTTTAATTTACTCAATAAAAATTGTTCGGGAAGAAATTAATTAGCCTGATAATTTACTTATTAATATGCTCAATAAAGACTCAATTATCATCATATGAAAAGAATAATAATCAAACTCAAACAAAAACTAAGCTTAAACATAAACACAAAGCTCAATTAGAGCGTGAACTCGACTCGACCTCGAATTGTATAAAAAAAACTCAAGCTTCAACGCAGCCTCAAAAGCTCGATTTAAGCTCGAGCTCAAATTATATAAGCATGCCCAAGCTTGAACACAACCATGCTTGACTCTGGTTAATTCGTTTGCAACCCTTGCTAACAATTTTTTGAGTTGTATTAGCTATAAAAATAGGATGATTATGAAGAAAGCAAATAAATACTATTTATGTGATATAACTAATTTTATTTTTTGTAAGTATTTAAATTCTAGACTAGTGTTTTTGATAAGCATGCCCAAATGGTTTAAAAATGAGGTGTTGGATCGTATTTATAGGCCTATACCTTTCTTTAAAAAACTTCTAGATTATAATATGTGTGGAGGATTTTAGAATAGAATACAATATTTTTATATATCTAAAATATTCTTGAGAGTTCTAAAGACTTCTTAAATCATTTATATTCTTTAGAATGCATTTGAATATTGTAGAGTCCTCTAGAACTATATAAAAAATGATGTTTTATTCCAAATCATTCTAGAAGCTTCTGGCTCGCCTGTATAAATTATAAAAAAAAAATATGAGTAGCACTTTAGTCATTAGAGGGGTTTGCAATTAGCCCATCTATGCAAGTGATTCCCTCTTAGTGCCTTCCTTACCACAAACTAGTTTAGTCTCTAGTAGTTGCTTCTATTTGATAGAAAACTCTTTATAATTTAGCATGTCATATTGATGAATGATTGGGTCAGGAATTATTTCATTCATATTTCTATCAAAAGAAGTGATTAATTATTTTGGTGCTACTTTAGAGATTCCTTGGATGGATTTTCGTGTAGTCATCATGCAGTTTTAGCATGGATATGTGAAAATTTGGATGAATCTTTAATTTTGGTGGGAGATGAAGCTTATATAAAAATTTTCTGATATGCTTGATCACCTCTAAAGGTCCCCCATATTCAAGTACTAATCTTTTGTGCATTTTTTAAAGATCTCGTAATGTTGTAGCAGGATCTCCACTAATATATTTCTTTATACTTTACGTATCTTCTTTCTTATATGCCCATTTCTTCATCTATCTTGCAGCCTTGGGTAGTGTCACTCGAGCTAATCATCATGCTCATGCCAGACGTAACTAGACTCTTTTCTTCATATTAAATGGTAAGTGATGGAGGTGTTAGTTATTACTATCCCATGATAAATTTGGGATGACTCACACTTATGGCTTCACTTTGTTGTGAAGTATGACACCATCATCAACTTGTCATCCTTTATTTTGTGCCCTAAGAACCCACTTATGGTGTGGCAAAGGGGCATTTTTTTCTTATTAACATGTAACTCATTCTCTCAAAGAATTTTGAACATATTTTTAAGGTGCATAATATTGTCTTTGATGTCTTGATGTACACCAGAATAACATCTAAGTAAATAACCCCAAATTGATTAACATATGGGTTGAATATCTTGTTCATAAATGTGCATATGTTACTGGTTCATTTGTTAAGCAAAATGCCATGACTATAAATTTATAAGAACCAAACCTTGCGACACATAGTATTTGGCTTATCTTAATTAGTTATCCATACTTAGTAATGCTCGAAACAAAGATGTAACTCTGAGAAGTAGCAAGCTTCGCCCAACTGATCAAACATGTTAATAGTCAAAGGAATATGATACTTATTCATAATCGTGATCTTATTGCGTGCTTTTTAGTTGATGCACGGGCATGGTGATTCATCTTTCTTCTTTTAGAATATGATTGGGGCACCAAATAAAGCTTGAGGGGGTTGGAAGAACCATGTGTCCAATAAATCTTACAATTATCTCTCTAGTTATGCTAATTTAGAAGGAGCACGTGTTAAGGAGCCATTGCTAGCAGTTTGGCCTCTAATTCTAGATCATTTTGATGATTAACTTCTCTTTTTGGCGATAACTTTATAGGAAACTTCTATAACATTGCATCTTAGTACTCTCTCAAGCTCCTTCTACTTCTTTAAGTAAGGTAGATTGAAGAAGTAGTCCTTCATTATCATGCTCTTGAGGATAGCTAAATATCTCTCCTCATATATCTTCAATCATTTGTCAAATTACATGACCAATAAAACTTTCATGCCAAACTTGCTAATCCTTATTGTTAGTAGTACACAAGTCTTATTTTCATGTAAAATGGATATTTTATTGGCAAATAGAATAGAAAAGACTTTTATTTAGTCAAAAAAATTTATTTGAAGTTTTGCCTTGAAATCATCCAATGAACTAGGAACAAGTCCAAGTTGCTTACCCATGTGCTTAGGGTGGTCTTCAGTCTTTAAACCATGCCCTGGATTGGTCTTGCTATGGAATTGACAACTTTTATTATTTCACTTATGTTGACTATATTAAGTCTCAAACTCTTGCATTCTTCTTCGGAGATGAAGTTATGTGTTTCCCCTATATCAATTAATGGTTTTGTGTATACCCCATTGACGGTGATATTCATAAATAATAGTCCTTTAGTTTATATTTTTTGGAATCTTTGAATAATATTAATGAGCTGTAAGGTCTCACATTGAGCATCCTCCTTTGTGCTATCAGCTAATTGCTCGTCAAAGTTTGTTGCCAATGCGTATAAAGCCTTTATTTATGGACTTTCCTTTGTCCAATAAGGACCACCACATAAGAAAAAATCACGCTTAGGAGCAGATTGATTTGAGTACTCTTATTTTTTTCCCTTGCATTTATATTTTGAAAATTTTTACCGGTGATGATCTCCTATGTGATTATCTTGATTATGTTCTCCCTCATCTTTGTCATTACAACCTTCTTCTCCTCAGACTTCGATGATTATTTTTGGTTGGAATAAGCAATAAGGCTTTTAGAAGTGGCAATGATGGTAGCAAGATCTTTTACACCAAGACATTTTAACTCTATCTTTTCCCATGTATATAGCCCATTATGAAGAAAAAGATAGAATATTTCCCAAACATGTCAGGGATCTCTTAGACAAGGTTAAGAAATCCTTGACCTAGTCATGAATGCTTCCTGGTTGCCTAAGCCTACGTAGGAGACCATGTGACTTTTCTTTCACATTTTTTGGGTATAATTACCTTTTTAGTAAATTCTTAAAAATGTGCCAATGATATAATTTTCTCTTTTCATATCTTTTTGTCATTGTCGATAACACGACATGACAATATCTATGAGATATAATGTTGCATTCTTAATTTTTGCTTATTCCTTTAAGATATCAACAACATCCATATATTATTCCAGTTAGAAAATTATCTTCCCCTTGAACATTCCTAATGCTTGTAAAACTCTATTTCTAGGATGTTCAATAATCGAGTATCCACCACGGATGCAATTAGCTTAGTTAGGAACGCCTTCTTGCAAAAGGCTAAGTCCCATTTTGCTTCCTTTAGTTGACCCAATGCCAAACTAAATGAAGAGAGCACCTTGTTTAGTTCTTCTTGATGAGCCCACACATTTAAGTTAACTTCATCATAATATCGTTCTTAATTTTATGTTTAATTTCCCCATTGAACTCTTCTAATGTGGTTAGAGTTCCACACACCATGCATGGATTTAGAAAAGGTATGCCTATGGGCCTTCCACAACTTACCTTCTCCATGCCCGCATCCACGCACCCTTACTCTGCTCCACTTGAGTTAGACGTGCATTCAAACTAAAAATTATATCCATAGAGTTACCATATGCCCTTGGTACTATCGTGTTTCATTACACTTAACACCTCCGATTTGTTGAGAAGACAACAACAATGATCTCGAACCCATGTATTTCATCCTTAACACTCCTTTACATGCCTAAACCATGTTATAATAACAAGTATCTTGGCTTAATATTTTTCAAACTAATCGTACGACCTTAACACACCTTTCTGATAAGTCTATCTAAATTTCAAAAAATACTAGGCTAGAACACTCAGAATGCAATAGGAGATAAGAATTTTAAAAGAGAAAGTCAATACATTGCACTCTGGAAAAGCTTTGTGAATGAGGTTAATCGTACAACCTTAACACATCTTTCTGGTAAGTCTATCTAAATTTTAAAAAATACTAGGCTAGAACACTCAGAATGTAATAGGAAATAAGAATTTTAAAAGAGAAAGTTAATACATTGCACTCTGGAAAAGCTTTGTGAATGAGGCAGTGACTCCTATTTGCAATGACTCCTATCTACCAGCCCCATCTTCTTGAGAGCCCAAGAAGCTTCTAAATCATTCAGTCTTCCACATGTGTTTCTTCTGGACTTTGCAGAATCTTTTGAAACCATCTAGAATATTATGGTCTATGTCAGATCCTTCTAGAAGCTTCTAGCTTCCCTTTATAACTTATACAAAAGATGTAATTAGCTCTTTCTTCTAGAAGCTTCTAGCTTCTCTTTATAACTTATACAAAAGATGTAATTAGCTCTTTGCTCATCAGCGAGGCGTGACAGTGCACTCCAATTAGTTCAAATTCACCCCACCAAGTGGTTATATTGTCATCGTCATGCTCTCCCTCAATGAAAACTATATAGAAATTGGCATTGGCATAGCATGGCTTACAACAAGTGAATCTTTCATTAACAATCATGTGTCGACGTCTATTCAACCATTTGAATGGGATATAAATCTATACTCATTTATGTCTAATTTTTTTGAATTATTAGACAAAAAAATATCAGAAAAATTGTAAATTTTAAGGGGGCAGAGTTATGCCCTAAATTTAGAAGAATTATCACATGTGACGACCGCACTTCCGGAAGAGAACTTTGATCGGCCGTCAAGCGATCCACAATTACATGATTATATTCAGATCATCATTAATAATTTTCCTTAATTTAACTATATTTCTTAGCTTTAAGAAAGTATTCATTGGGGCTAGGCCCAATAAAAGTCTAAGATTCCTTACCACACTAGTTGGCTGCTGGCCACACACTGACCATCAAACAATTTAATACCCCCATCCATAAACTATGGTAATGGCGACATCAAGACCGTTAGATTGACTTTATATTATTATAACTATTATTATTCTACATGAAATAAAACTCCATAAATTCACTCAATCATTAAGAAAAAAATGTACGTTCAAATTAATATTTTTAAAATTATCTTAAATACATTTATTTTTTAATAAATAGGAAGGAGTTTTCACATATGCCACTTAATATTGGAAAATATTTGCGTACATAAGATGTACGCAGCGCTGCGTACGTCAGGGGGTACATGGGGGTTATATACGGGTTATACCCCTTTGTAACCTCCGTGTAATTCCCTTGTAACCTCCGTGTAACTTATTTGTACCCATGAAACTACAGAAATGCGGAACTCATTTGTAGGTTACAAGTAGTTTACAAAGAGGTTACAGACGGGTTACAGAGGGGTGTAACTCCGATATAACACTCCTATAACCCCTGGACGTACGCATCGCTGCATAGGTCTTATGTACGCAAATATTTTCCCTTAATATCATGTATTTACATATCTAACAACCAAAATTTAATTTTTACATAAATGACACCTTACATAGTTTTACTTTTTTTTTAAAGGTTTAAATAGTGAAATTTTTTATCTGGTATAAAAAAGTTGGGTGGTATAAATATAAAAAGTGAAATTTAGGAGTTTGATATGCAAATACATAAGAATTAGTAGCTACGTATGTAAATGCTTATGTTATTAGATGCTCACTTGTGATAATAAATAAAGAGATTACATACCATACCATATAATTCTTGAAAATATTATTTATATTTTGTTATTTAATTATGTAATATTTTAGTATTATAGCCACATCAAATTACATGCATAAAAATATTATTTCACTTTAAAAAAAAAAAAGATAATATTAATGCTATTTTTTTTGTTGTGATGGCAAAGATTTGAGTGTTACATCGGTAAATATGAGAGTTTAGGTGTTCGATATGTAAATATAGAAGGTGTGTGGTATAAATAAATGTATAAATAAGTGTTGAATCCGAAATTATATTTGAGTCACAAATAAAGAATAGAGGGCAAAACAGAAGAGAGTGATAGAGACGGTGACAGAGAGTAGAATGCACAACAATGAATAGTAAAAAAGATTCTTAAGTAGTAATTTCTAAGGCAAATCTAAGCAAATGAACCTCATATTTATAAGAGAGAGGAGTACAATATGTGTAATTACATGCATGCCCCTACTTTAATGGGGATGTTACATGATATTTCAGATATTTTATAGGTGTAAACATATGGTTCGATTACTCTATTACTCGATCGGTTGAGATCAGCGAGACTTAGTTCGATAATGTCTGATCATCTTCGGCTTTATACGGGTTTGGCTCATTCAACATGATTCTGCAGGTCAACCACTCTAATCTGATTGTCGACAATCGATTCCTAGGTGAGGAACTCCTGTCGACAGAATGAGACTACGCTGTTTGACAGATGATAAGCACCGGAATCGAACAAACAACTCGACCCTTACTGAAATAGTCCTCCGGGATGCTATTGGAATGCATCATTATAGATCCACTCTCTTTCTAACAAAACAAAACAAAAAACTAATCTAATTTTTTTCAAAACAAAACAAAAAACCAGTCTAATTTTTCAAAAGGTTTGAATTTAAAACCCTATTAAGTAGAAAAATCAAATTTTTTTTTTATTTCCATTTGTCTTCTTCTCCCCCCAAACTGATAAGCACTCAGAACGGCCCAAACAAAGTAGACAAATGATTTTGCGGGTCAACCGCTCTAATCTGATTGTCAATCGATTCTTAATTGAGGAACTCTTGTTCAGAAAATGAGACTACGTTGTTTGACAGATAATGAATCATCGTAATCAGACAAACAACTCAATTATTACTGAAATAGTCTTTCGGGATGCTCTTGAAATATATGATTGTAGATCCTCAACCTCATGATGAAGGGTATGAGAGGTCTCTCTTTCTATCAAAACAAAATAAAAAACAGTCATTTTTCAAAACAAAACAAAAATCCAATCTAATTTTTCAAAGGTTTGAATTTAAAACCCTATTGAGTAGTTCCATTTGTCCTCTTCACCCCTCCCCCAGACAGATAAGCACTCAGAACGGCCCAAACAAAGCAGACGGATGAGCGCTGTTTTGAGTGGCAGCTTTTTCCCATCAAACCCACTAACAAAATCTCTTTCAGTCTCTCCAATTTCTCCGCCATGGAGCTCCTCCTCCTCCTCCTCCTCCCTCTCATCTTCATCTCAACAGCAGCTCATTCGCTTCCGCTCTTTCTTCCAAGAGCGGCTCAGAGCTTAATCTCCAAATCAAACAAATACCCCAATCTTCCATACATTGCTCATTATTTCCCGCAGGAGTTGGATCATTTCGCTTATCGCCGGAGGTCTTATGGCGTTTTCTATCAGAAATATCTTCTGAACTCCACGTTTTGGGAGAGAGGAGAGCCAATCTTTGTTTATACGGGCAACGAAGGGGACATTGAGTGGTTTGCTGCTAATACTGGATTCATGATGGACATTGCGCCTAAGTTCAGGGCACTGCTTGTCTTCATCGAGGTATATAAGCTTAATTTTGATTTTCATGGTTTTATTTATTCTGAAATTTGTTCAGAAATGATATGGTTTCCTTTCATGTTTTTAGTTTGATGAATATGTATAATTCTGTCCAATGAATCTTATGTTAATCCGATCTCCGGTGCGACGGAGATGAACTCACGAGCACCAATACGAAGAAATCCTTAAATCCGTCTCATAATCGGATTTATTGAATCCAAATTTACGTCCTAAAAGAGACGAAACACGAAAAAATTCGCGAACGTTGGATTTAGTTTTTGTTTCAAACACAGCCTTAGCTTCCGTTGGATTTAGTTTTTGTTTCAAACACAGCCTTAGATGTTCTATTGTTGGGTTGGGAGAGAATATAGACTCAAAAGGATTGGAATGAAATATTGCTTGTTTGCAAGAAAGTTAATATTCTAACCAATAAGTTATAAATAGCACTATTCTAGGGGCATTTACGTGCACAACACATAATTCTTATGTATTTACATATCTAACCCCAAAACTTTTATATTTAGACATGCAACAGAGTACTGTGAATGCAAATATGAAAGTTTAAGGGTGAGATATGTAAATAAATAAGAATTGTGTGCAATATAATCATTTTATCATAACAGTCTCGTGTGAACCTGCAGCACCGGTATTATGGAGTTTCGAAGCCATTTGGGGAAGAGTCGTTTAAATCCGCAGAGAATTTAGGGTACTTGAACTCAGCACAGGCTTTGGCGGACTATGCAGTGCTCATAAGGAGCTTGAAGCAGAACCTTTCTGCAGAATCATCTCCAGTTGTAGTTTTCGGAGGCTCCTATGGAGGAAGTGAGTCAATACATATGTGATATGAAATATTTATGGTGGTATAAATGTAAAAAGAAAAGTTTGTGTTGGATATAGAGATTATATAAGACCTGGGTATGCATGTAAATGCCCCTATTCTATTTATAAATGCTAAAAAAAGTTTACTTTTTTGCATTTAGTGCTGGCTGCATGGTTCAGGCTGAAGTACCCCCAGATAGCCATTGGCGCCTTGTCATCATCTGCACCTATACTGCAGTTTGATGACATTACTCCATGGAGCAGTTTCTATGATGCCACATCTCAGGACTATAAGGTACAATCTTTGCCTTATTTCTTTTTTTGGAAAATTTACATAAATACCACACAATTCTAAAATATTTACATATCTAACACCCAAAGTGATACTTGCATTTTTGACACCATGGTGTCATAAACCCATTCAATGTTTTTAATGTTATATTAAAGTTCGAATGTTATGCATGTAAATATGAATGTTTGGGTGTTAGATATGTAAATGGCCCTATTTTTTTATATCATGATTTTTTTTAATTTCATCAAAGAAATTGATCTGTTTCAATGGTTTCGAATAAATCGAGTCGAACGAGCTAAAATAAAATGGAGGAATTTACTAACATAACACCCAGTTCCTATGTATTTATATATCTAACATCTACACTTTACTTTTTACACTTACACCACCCAAATGTTTCATGTCAGATCAAAAATATCATCATTTTAACTTTTAAAATGTGAATTCACTTTTTCATGATAGATAAGTTGGCATGCACGTAAAACTTGAAGGTTAGTTGTTGCATGTGTAAATACATAGGAATTGAGAGGTATGTATATAAATCGTAGAATAAAAAATTTATGATTTTGAATTAAACCAAACTCCAGCCGAGTCGAAAAAGATTGATTTGAAGTCTTTTCTATATGTATATATATATATATTTCTTCTTTTAGGTTACATGTAATTTATGTATGAAACATAAATGTATATTTATAAATGGTAAGGACTCATATGTAAATATGTATTTTCACAAGAATCAAGCTATTTTTTATGTTTAATTTAACTCATAATATTTGTATTTAGTTATTGTGATTTTATCATGATTTTTTTTAAGCATTGTTGAGGATTATTCCACTAACATTTTTCTGGTCCTGGCTGATGAGCATATGCAGGATGAGAGCATGAACTGCTTTGCAGTGATAAAGAAGGGTTGGGATGAGCTGATGTGGTTTTCAATGAAAAATGGGCTTTCTGAGCTTAGTAAATTATTCAGAACATGCGAGTAAGTTTTCACCAACTTTTACCGTATTTTTAATCTGAGAATTATGATGAAGTTAAATAATTGTGGCTGCGTGCTTGCCGCCCGTCGCTCGCTTCAACCCTCGTAACAATTGGTCACCAGTGCCATTATCGTTGAGCATATTTTATATTGATTTCATTTTTCTTCGAAGCAAACGAAATAATGTAAATTTATGCATTTAATTTACACCAAACCAAATAATTTTAAAGTATTTTAAATATATTCCTTTAACATTACAATTCTTTTTCAGCAAGCCAAACAATCGTTTTAAGAGGGATTTAAAGTGAACTTGAAAGCTCAACTACGAGCACGAAAAAATAGTCTCCAACAATGTTATCTTGCACACAAGAGACCAAGTGAAATTGAGTGATGAAATGATTTTTTTTTATATGGGGCTTATCACACAAATATACAAAGCATGTGATGACAAAAGAATGAATACTACCTTGAAATACATGATAGATTTTAACTTACAATATACACCATAGGATTTGTAACACGTACATGCAAGCGGACAGAAGATGTCTCAAAAACTCAAAATAAAATATTTGCACGCATCTTAATAATAAAATAATCGTACAAATAATAAAACTTAAAATTCTCAATCTATATGGCATAACTTTCAAGCTCAATTAATGTTTTTAAAAGCATGTAAATGCATTACACAAATACAAATGAGCAAATGCTATGTGAATGCATGAAAAAAAGTGCAATGCACAATGCAAATGCTCTGAAGATGTACATATCATCAAATATTGAATGTTTGCATTTGCTTCAACGAACATGCTAAGTGCACAAACATAATGTTAGATAATGTTGCATAATGTTAGATGCTAAGTGCACAAACATAATGTTAGATAATGTTGGATGGATTAAAAGCAATATAGACTTGAGTTTTCACTACTCTCACGAACGTGCAAATGAATTAAAAAGCATGATAAGTGCACAAAAAGTTATAATACACTAAGGAGCGTGAATTATAAAAATTTGAATTCTTGCATATGTTTCGACCAAAACACTAATGCTCGCACATAAAATCAAAGAATGCTATAAAAATTAGAGGTTTTTACGTACATAGCACCCAAAACATAAATTTGTTCCTTTGAGAAATGTGAGGATATTTTAAAAGATTTATAACTAATTAAAAATATTCAAACTCTCTTTTAAATTTTAAACATAAATCTATTAAACTATACATGTTTGGGACGGATCTGAGAGTGTTAGTGGTTTTTAACATTTTCTCCACTCTGTATTAGTTTCTCCTCGAGAGAGGTCTACTAAGGTGATCTTATCACGACCCGACCCAGTGGAAACTAAATTTTTTTTGTTAATATTTATATTTTATAACTAACATTTTATAAATGAAAGAGCCATTATATAAAATAAATTAAAATAATACAATTAAATTTACCTCATTTCTGGTTGTCCTAAATCAATATGCTCATGTATGATTACATTCGCATCATGCAACTAGTACCATAAAGAAATGAACTTCATCATAAACAATCATATATTTACAAGCATATTATAACAATCACTATATAATAATTATCATTTCATTCTCATTTGTATAACATTTAATATACTTCAATAATGATTATTTCATTCTAATTTGTATAACATTCAATATTCAATATTTATAATGATTTAAACGTACACATATTATTCCTACAATATGAACAAAAAAAAAAAAAATAAAATCATAATTTATGGGTATGCAGTAATATAAATATAACTTGTAAGAAGATGCAAAATATTATCATAGCATAAGAAGATAAGTATTCACCTTAATCACATTGTCATTTTCTCAATTCACGTCTTCTACACGATCTCAATGATCGCCTGATTCAAATCATAGCTTTATTTTTAACACAAAAGTTTCTAATTAAATAATTTCCTCAAATAAAATTAACACGCAAGCTTCCAACTTCCAATTTGAAAATTGTACAGCTTCAATTCTAATTTAATTAACGATACTATTAACATTTGTATTAAATTCATAAATTAACATACTAAAGACAAAACTCACCTTTACCTTCCCGCTTTCGGTTTGGCTCCTCAAATTGCACACGTGAAGTTTCCTTATAGCCTATGGTGTCACAATTTATAGTTAAAACTTCCTACCCGCACACCTCTTCTTCCCAGCACACGAGTCCCTCTCTTGCAAGACAAGTAGCTTTCAAGAGCTCCTTTCTCTCTTCCTTCTTCCTTACACACGAGCCCCTCTCTTGCAAGACAAGTTGCTCGATTCAACTCTATAGTTGCTTTCAAGAGCTCCTTTCTCTCTTCCTTCTTCCTTACAATCGGCTAGGGTACCACTTCTCTTCCCTTCGGCTTGGTTTTTTCTTGCATGAGTCACTTCTTAACATCCTCTTCCATTCGTTGCTCCTCTTTCTTCACACCAAACAAAATCGAGCCTCGTATAGGTGAGAAAAGAACACCACACTGCGGGCGGCATCGTCTTCCTTCATACAGGAGCCAGAAGCATCAACCCACCCTGGGAGTGTGATACCTCGTCTTACACAGCACGACTCACCTCCCTTCTATTCTTCTTCACAATAGGCCCGTTCAACGTTTCCTTCTTTCGATTGATTAGGGAACGAGTTCTTATATAGTTCTAAACACTTTCCGTCACTCTCAGCCTCTTCTTTTTCATTCTTCTCTATTTCTATCTCTCTCTCTCACTTTTATATTCCTTCCCACCGTTCGAAGATTATTATTATTATTTAGTACATTTTCTCATTTTAAAAATTTCATCCTTAAAATTTGCAATTCTACATTTAGTACATTTTCTCCTTTTAAAAATTTCATCCTTAAAATTTGCAATTCTACTTCAAATCTCAAATCATTGAAAGCAAAAAATGAATTATATATTTTTTTTATTAAGAAAATTATATTTCATTCTTTAAGATCAAAATTTAATTCAACAAAATAAAAACATAATGCAAGATAACTCAACTAACTTCCTTCATCTACCGAAACATGATAACATCATATCTAAAGCAAGGTAATATAATAAAAACACACATCCTTTGAAAAGGAAATACAGTAGAGTGATAGGTGTATAACATGCGATAAAACATAATACTTGTCAATCCCTAGTAGCATCAACATCTGCATCAGCAACAGTCTGTTCAAGCTTTCTATGTGTAAGGGTATAAACTTGAGATGGAACCAGTTGTCGTGGTTGACCTTGAATAGGAGTCGAAGCTTTGACTCTATCCTTCTTTGCCCACTTGCAGTCTTCTGAGAAGGAGCACTACTTAGTTTCTCATCTTCTGATGATTTCTGACCAGGTGAAGGGCAGTATCTTGCTATGTGACTAGGATGACAACATCAGTAGCATATTTTTTAGGCAATCAAACATTCACCTTTATGTTTATTCCTATATTTGACAAAAGCGACTACAATACTCAGAATTGTTCCACCACTGAATCTATCAGAACTGAATTTGGGTTTTTTTTCCCATTGAATCTCTTTGAGTGATCAACATGCTCTCCTTGATTAAAACTCTTTCTCTCGTGTGTCTCCTTACGCTTCTGAACATTTGAAAGTCAATCACTACTTGTCCAGCTCACCCCACTAACACTAAGTAGTCATCATTCCCCCAATGCATCAATGAATGCCTGATCAAAACCTTTAATCCAAAAAAGAATATGTAGCATCTCTTCTGCAATAAGTATCAATTGTGATGCATACAACGATAATGCATTGAACTCTGTTTTATACTGCATAACTGTCTTTTCTCCTACACCAACTTGATGAACTTGCCCTACATTTTCACACATCATTCTCTGAAAAGATCTACAAAATCCTCCCAACTTACCATCATATTTTGTATGTTCCCTAGATTGTCTTAACGCTGCCCACGCCACCACCTTTATGTTTCTCCATCCAACATAAATGTAGTTAATAGTACTTTTCTTCCATCCAAACATGTTATGTTGTCTAGTATTTTTTCTATCATCAACCAGTTCTCCGCTTATATCGGGTCTTCATTTTTTCTTGAACAAAGGTGAACACAGATTTTGAAATATCTTTAATTACTTATCTACAACAATTGTGTCACTCCCACTAAGCTATAGTCTGAACTCTTGAATCAATTTTTTGTTCGCCGCTATGATCAGGGCATTTGTTTTCATGGTTATAGCAGGCGGTGCTTTTCCATTTCTTTTTGGACTTCCCTATTCTATAATCTCAGGCGCATCAATTTGTCTAAAAATAATTATCTAATTAGTATTAACTTAAAATTTCAATTTGATTATTATAAAACTTGCTTGTATATCCTATTAATTTTTTTCATCAAAATTGTATTATTTAAGGCTAAATCTTTCGGTATGATACCACGTTTGTCGCGACAGGGCTTGTGGTTTGAAATTAACTAAGGTTGATACAAACAGTCAAATGGTGGAAATTAAATTTTTTTCTGCATTCATTTTCTATAACTAATACTTTATAAATAAAAGAGTCGACATATAAAATAAATTAAAATAATATAGTTAAATTTAACTCAATTTTGATTGTCCATGTCTTCAATAATTATTTTATATTTTCTTACTCATGTTTTAATCAATCAATTAAATCTGAAATGTTAGTTTAAAACAACAGCAAGTTAATCATAGACAATGAATTCTCATACTCTTAAACTATAATAACACAATAAAAAAGAAGCCAATATACATGTCAGTTAAATTGGTAATAAATTAGCATAATTTGACAGTTTAAATTTATGAATATGATCTATTAATAAAACATGTATTATGTCATACAATATCTATTTCATATCTGTATCATTGTATTTACACTTGTCACATGAGCACCGTCTAAAATTATAATTTAAGATACATCAATATCAATATCATTTTTCATTTACATGCGCGAACATCTTAGTCTCCCACTATTAGTACCACAAGGAGATGAACTCTATCATAATCAATCATGCATGCACAAGCATACTATAACAATCACTATATAATAATGATTATTTCATACTCATTTGTATAACAACCAATAAACTTATATAATGTTAAATATTTATGATAATTTAAACAATATTAAGTACACATGTCATTCCTACAATATGAAGAAAAATTCAATGAAATCATAAATTATGGGTATATAATGATATAAATATAACTAATAAGAAACAAAACATTACTATAGCATAAAAACATGAGTATTCACCTCAATCATAATGTCGTTTTCTCGAATCACGTCTTCTATACGACCACAATGATCGCCTAGTTAAAGTCATAGCTTTGTTTTTAACACAAAAATTTCTAATTAAATAATTGCTTTGAATAAAATAGATAACCAATAAACCTTTACCTTAAAAGGCTTGATTTGCTTCCCTGCACACAAGGTTTCTCCTTCTAATTTGAAACTTTTATAGTTTGAATCGTGATTTAATTAACCATACTATTAACATTTAATAATTAAAACATAAGTATTAAATTCATAAATTAGCATACTAAAGCTCCCACTCATTCCCTAATTCAGTTTGACTCCTCAAATTACGAACGTAAAGTTTTATTATAGCCTACGATGTCATGTTTTACACTTAAACCTCCTACTCATACACCTCTTATTCCTAGATTACGAGCCCCTCTCTTGCAAACCAAGCTGTTTGATTCAGCTCTATACCCACACAAGAGAGCTCATTCCTCTCTTCCTTCTTCCTTCAAACAGCTAGGGCACCACTTCTATTTTATTCAATGAGGTTCATTCTTTCATGAGACGCTTCTTCCTTCACACCAAACGAAATCGAGCCAAATGTACGTGTGAAAAGGGCACCTTCACTATGGGCTTCACCGTCTTCCTTCGCACAAGAGCCGCAAGTATCAATCCTAGAAGTGTTATGCCTCTTCTTGCACGACACGACTTACCTCCCTTCTATTCTTCTGCACAACAAGGTCATTCGACCTTTCCTTCTTTCAATTGATTAGGGCACTAGCTCTTCTAAGGTTTGAACCACTTTCCATCACTCTGTGACTCTTCTTCTCTCTTTTTCTTCTCTATATCTATCTCTCACTCACTCTTCTATTCCTTCCTCCAGTTCGAAAGAAATGTCTAATACTTAAAGGAAGAAATCATTGAGGCGATTAGTTCGAAACAACAAACCTATTAAATTTATTATTATTATTTTTTTTTTTTTTTTAATTTTCAGTTATTACAACTATAATGTTTGTACTCTTGTTGTCTGCTTCGATGGCTAAACACTGTTTGAAGGGTGACGTGATATTATTGTGTTGTAGGGTTAGGGTCGAACATCCTGTAATATCCAATAAAATTTTTAACTGTACCACTTGCCAATGGACGATCTCAATTCCCCCATATATCAAGCTATGATATTCTCATCGGGCTCCACCAATTCATATTCAACATAAACTTCTCGAACTCGACTGTATTCTCACCTGCTAATATTTTTTTTGTCGTAAGTGATGAAGTCCAAGAACAAGTCATGTCTCTAATGTGTTTGCGGGTACTTGCACATCATATTTTTTTTCATCTTAGATGTAGTGATTTTATTTTTTTCTCTCATGCTGACGCACGCACTTTAATTTTTTTCTAATATAGATACACACTTTTTTTAATTTGATGACAATTAGCATTATCCTTTTTCAAGTGGAACATCATTGTATTGAAAGATTAATTCCACCAAATGAGGTCACCTAATGAACTCGTCTGGATCCATACGGCCGTAAAATCCGATAAATCCACCTTTGCCCCAAAATCTTAGCTTCTCTAATTCAATTTCAAATTGAAGTTACATCAACTCTTCATCACTCGAAGCTTCTTGGTGGAAAAAAATTACTTATCGATCTTACCAGCCACTGTTGTGGCTATGAGCAACCTCACCAGGTTCTCTCTTCTGAAAGGCTACAAGCTTTTATTTCAGTTGAATGATTTCTCGTTGCATAACCTCTATAGTGATCTCCTGAATACCTCGTTGAGACTATCTCCTTAGCGTCATGGCATCTCGTCTTCCAATGAAAGTCTCGATATAAAAGGAAAATGCAATTTAGTGTTAGAGCTTGGTGGGTGACGACGAGACAATTTTTTTTGAGTCGAATGATGGTCGAGGCCTGAGTACTTAGAGTTTTGGTAATAGGTATCATGGCGGCTTTTTGGTAAAGATTTAGGTTATATAAAATTTTAGATTTAGGTGTAGAAAACATAAGACAAAAAATATAGGATTTGTCGAGCTCTTATATCACATGGCAATTCTAGGGCTCTTAGAAGGTATTTGAGAAACAGATTTAGCAAGAAAGTGGTTATCGAATAACAAAGAAGTGAAAATATGAGATACTTGTGGCATTTGAAAGGGGATAGAAGGTGGTCAGCTATACAAACTCAAAACAACGGTCGAACAATAAAATTGTGGCATTTGAAAGGGGATAGAAGGTGGTCAGCGGCTATACAAACTCAAAACAACGGTCGAACAATAAAATGGGGAGGTGCAGACAACAACGAGGATCCACAATGTATTCCTGAGTAAGATACACACATATGATTTCAAAAGAAAGGGAATATGTCACCCGTCAGAGATTATAATCTCCACAATATATAAAACTAAGCAAAAAGTTCTCAAATCAAAAAATAATAAGATATAAATAGTCAATTAAGCAAAAAATTAAAAAATTAAAAAAACTTAGAAATAAAAAAATAGGAAATAAACCATAAAAGGTAAAAATTCCTGGTGAATTTGATAACGAAACGCTCCAGCGATCGCTGAAACCTCCAGTTCCGCGGTATCGCAGAAGTCCAAAAAAGGAGATCGCAGAATGTCGGATCCCGCGATTCCGCAGGACGCTCCAGCGTCGCCATGACTATAAGGAACTGAATAAAACTAAACTATCATCTGTTAAAACTGTACTGGCCATCTATCTTCTCTAACAACTACCTTGTGAACCACAGGCTCTAGAAGTTAGGAGAAGGATGACAATCATGGAAATTTTCGTCAATGTAGTGCAAAATGTAAAATACAGACAACGTCAAGTTGATCATTTATTATTTTTCAAACACGTGACTTTATGGAAATTTTCATTAGCATTGTTATGACAGGTAATGACTTGTAAGATATGGAAATTTTGAAGAAGCTGCTACAACATATTGAAATCAAAGAACTAGAAGCAAAAATACTTTTTTAGTATTGAGATAGGAACGCAGTCGATTCTGGATATTTTTATCATAATAAAACTACATGATAAGTTTATTAAAAGAATTAGACAAATTAGAATGAAAGCCTATCAAGAGCTCAGGAAATTCAACTATAAACTTTGATATGTTTATGGTGTGGAGATAACATACAATCATTTGCTAAAGGGGTAGTTAAAAAGCTTAATTCTTATAAACTTTGATATGTTTATGGTGTTAGAGGAGATAACATACAGTCATTTGCTAAAGGGGTAGTTAAAAAGCTTAATTCTCATCAATTCTACCTCTATAAATTACACTTGCATCGATATTCCAATGAGTTCAACAATACTACACCTTGTCACTTCATGTCATCTCAATAATTTATGAGAAATTAAAACCACCTCATTAATTTATGAACTATTATAATTATTGCCATAAAACACTCAATTCTCTGCCATTCTTATTAGTATTCCTTTGAGAGCATGATCAGAGGGCCAAATTATGATATCATCTCAACAGGTTTAGCACCTTATATAAATAACTTCGAAGATAGAACATTAGCATTAAAAAAAGATCCATTTCAAATATAAAAATGAGATTATCATACTCAAGAGAGTTTTGCAGATTTTTGTATAATTTAAATCAATGTTAGTTTTTAAGTACATTCATAAGATGGTAATTTGATAAATTTCATCATTTTAAAACATATTTCCTAATTTCAAAAAACCAAATGCATCCTAAATTCAAACATAAGTACCATAAGGTAAAAGATACCAAGATTTTCATGCCAAAGGTTCACATCAATTGGTGCCTATCCATATTTCTTTTTTACATTTTAAACCTTTACTTAAGCACTTTAATATATTTTTTTAATTTTTTTTTCCTGAAGCATATATACTCTTAATGTGCAGAAATCTTCATTCAGTATATGAAGCACGAAATTGGCTATGGGAAGCATTTGTATATTCGGCCATGGTTGATTATCCAGTAGAAGCAAATTTCATTAGACAATTGCCTGCCAATCCAGTTCAAAAGGTAACTTAGTCCCAGCAGTTCTTTCAGTTCTAGTTATATTCTATACAGTATCCAAAACATTCACGCTAGGGTCTCTTACATAGGAGATATTATTCCATACGGAGTACATACGCAGCTCTACGTGCGGACTCCAGCAATATGCCGCCATGTGTGTTATATCGGGCCCACCTAAAAAAATTAAAGCGAAACCGTGAAGGTTATTGGAGTGAAACTGCGGAGATTATTTGGGCGGGGTATTGGGGGTTTTTGAGGGGTTATTGAAGCATTAACTCCAAAAATGTCTCAATAACCCCTCAATAACCTCTGTTGTTCCACTCCAACAACCCTCCAATAACCTCCGCGGTTCCATTTCAATAGCCTCCGCAATAACCCTCGAATAAACCCCCAATAATCTCTCAATAATCTCTGTGATTTCACGTCAATAACCCCACAACAACCTCCATGTGACGGCATTTTATTGGAGTCCGCAAGTAGAGCTGTGTACGTACTCCGTATGAAATAATTTCTCCTTACATAGACGCCACCCAATACCCATATATTTACAAATCTAATGTCTAAACTTGATTTTGTATATTCATACCACCCAAATCTTTCATATCACATAAAAATACCAATACTTTAACCTTTAAGAAGTGAGACACACTTTATTCACAGGAAAGGTGATATATATGTAAAAATTGAAGTTAAGGTGTTAGATATGTAAATATACATGGGAATTGAGTGGTATGTATCAAAATCTCCCTTCAAACTAAATATATATATTATAATCCTTCAGTGGAACAAAAAAAAAAGGATTTAATGTCTTTTCAATCTGTAATTTTTTAGAAGCATTGCAAATCTCCTTTTTCTTTTAAAGATGTGCAGAATAATAGATGGATTTCCACCAGAGGTTGATATACTGACCAAAGTGTTTTCAGCTGCAAGCCTATATTACAACTATTCAGGAAGCCAGTCTTGCTTTGATATAGGACATGAAGCTGATTCCCATGGGCTTAGTGTATGGAATTGGCAGGTATATTATAGCTCAGATTTCAGATTTGATTCTACCTAGATATTTTCAGCAGAGCAAGCATTTCACCAAGTCATATTATGAAACAAAAAGAAATTGGGGAAGGTGGTATGGATGTAAAAATTGAAGTTTAGGTGTTAGATATGTGAATACATAGGAATTGAGTGGTATCTATATACATCCCTCAAGAAAGTGGCATTTACATACATAATTCCTATCTACTTACATATTTAACACTTAAAACTTTGTTTTTTTTTAGATTATACCTCCCAAATCTTTCCATATCATATAAAAAATATCATGATTTTGATTTTAAAAAGTGAAATACACCTTTTCATGCATGAGTAAGGTGATGTGAATGTAAAAAATTAAGTTTAGGTGTTAGATATGTAAATAGATAGGAATTGAGTGATACCTACGTAAACCTTTCGAGAAATTATTATAAATGTCATGTGCATAAATATGTCGTCGCAGACTATGATTCTTCGGAGTTCAAACAATACAATTTAAATGCATCTCTTCGGATCCTCCTATTCTATCAAATAGCCTCTCCTACCTTATTTATGCAATTTGGGTTAATAATTTTTGACAATATTTTGATGTTGTATGAATTTTACTAATTTTAAAATAGGAGTAATGTATAACAAGTATAGGTGAGCAGGGAAGTTCCAAAAGAATAGAGGAATAAAAAAAGCAGAGAATAAACAATAAGACCATCCTTCCTAAGAATAGTTGTCTCAAAAGTGTGTTGTAATTGATGGCTTGTAAAGTAAGATGATGCTTCTAATATACAAAATTAAGCTCAAAAGTTGCAAATTACATAATATGCAAGGTTTAACAAACTGACTCAACAATATGTCAAAATGAGCAAAGCAATGGCTATGACTAAGAATACAAAAGCTTGAGTGTAATTTTCTAGTATTAATGCTCTTTTTAGACATTTCCATGCATTTTGATTAAAATCTTAAGATTTTATAAGATTGTTTGATCAAACCCAATATCTCATGTGTTACCTGCATAAATCTTCATGCATATGGTTGTTGCAATTAGAATGGGCACATGGCATCCTTTTAGTCTTAAATTATCACACTTTACTGTTTCTTTTCTTTAGAATAACTTATTTAAATTTTCTTACGTCCCCCCCTTGTTCTTGGTTATTTACTTAGGCTTGCACAGAAATGGTCATGCCAATGACTTGCTCTAACGAAAGTATGTTCCCACCATCAGCATATGATTATGAACAATTTGCTGACCAATGCATGATGACTTTTGGTGTGAGACCTCGGCCCCATTGGATTACTACCGAGTATGGAGGCCATGTAAGTAGTTTGATTGATTTACTTCTCTATAATTAGTTATAATTAAACTAGATAAGCATGTAAGTTTATGAAATGCCAAATTTACATGTATAACCGAATGCTTAATGTGTTTTTTGAAGAAATGTGAGATGCTCCTAAGTTACCGAGGATGTGCGTGCAACTCTAAAAGATTTAACAAGTTTTTAATCCATGACATAGTTATAAAAATCCACTTGAGATCGTGTTACTTCTACCATACCGTCCACCGCTGCATAGCTACAAAGCTATAGAAAGCAAGAAGCATGTTCAACAACAATTTCAAATGCACAACTAAGCTCGTACTTTTCCGCAATCAAAATCAAAATTATAGTAAAGGGCCTGTTGGGGTTTTTGCAGCTTTTATAAAAGTGGTAATATAGTTGTGGTTGGAAACACAAATTTTTAGAAAAGTGTGATGAGAATTATATATATATATTATATATATATATATATTATATATATATATAAAATTAGCCAACAGCTTTCTTGCAGCAACCATAATTTAACATATCATGATGAAAAAAATATCTTCTTGCCACAACTTTCTAGAAAGTAGCAAGAAATGAGCAGTTCCTCAAAACAAAATTATGGTGGTGGTTTGAAAGCCAAACATACCCGAAATCTGGAATGGTAGCTATAGAGCGTATCCATCGTTTATGCAAATCTACATAAAATTCTACGGTTCTTGTGTATTTATATATTTTTTCATTATCATTCTTTTTCCACTCCTAATGTTTGAATTAGATTTCGTTTACACTTCAAACTTGCTCTGACTTATTTGTTGTAAAATACTAACATGTTGTAACAACACAGAACATTAAGCAAGTTCTTTCGAGATTTGGAAGCAACATAATATTCTCCAATGGAATGAGAGACCCTTGGAGCAGAGGAGGGTAAGAATTGAAAGTCTTATTGTGTTCATTTAACATTATATATATATAGGGGCATTTACATACCTACCACCCAATTCCTGTCTATTTACATATCTAACACCTAAACTTTACTTTTTACATTTATACCACCTAAATCTTTCACATCACATCAAAAATACCTTTGTTTTAACTTTTAAAAAGTGAAATATTTCTTTCCATGCATAGGTAAGGTGGCATATATGTAAAAATTGTAATTCTAGGTGTTAGATATGTAAATGCATAGATGTATGTAAATCTTACTTTTTTGGAACTACAATGCTGCTACTTCAAAAGAGCAACCATCACAGAAAGTTTAACACCATTAACTTGAACTCTCAGGGTACTTGAGAACATATCATCTACCATTGTTGCAATCGTCACCCAAAAAGGTGAGAAGAAATTTTAATTAATTTCTCCATATTTAATTGCAGAAATGCTAAACTAAATGCCTCTGTGTTAAGGTAACTCTACCATGATTAATAAATCCTTCAAATGTTATTTGCTAAGAATTACTATATTTCAGGTGCTCATCATTTGGATTTTAGATCTGCTACAAAAGAAGATCCAACTTGGCTTATAGAACAGAGGAAGGAAGAAGTGGAAATTATAAAAAGTTGGATAGATAGGTACAAAGGAGATGAAATGATATGAAGATTTATAACTGCAAATAATTTAATAAATGGGATGTGTATTGCAAAACAATAAGTGTCTCATTGCATTCATACAGTTCTGATAATTTGTAATTTATTATCAAATCAATTGTTTTTATACTCAGTAGTATGCTTAAAGAATTGATTCATAATAAATTTTGTATTTCATCTTATGTTCTATCAGCATTTCATAATCTTAAAAAGTTGAACTTGAACATTAATTTCATATAGAAACAAATGATCTCATAGTAACATAAAATGATTCAACTCACAAATATAATGTTGAAAGCATAATAGGTGCATTTTTATGAAGGGGGATTTACATGCATGCCACATAATTATTATGTATTTACATATCTAATGCCTAACTTTGATATCTAACTGGATAACACTATTATATCACAATCTCATCAAAAAAAGGCATGAGAAGGTACATTTCACTTTAGGAAAGTTAATGTTAATGGTAATTTTTATGTGATGTTCAAGATTTGGGTGTTGTATAAATAAATATTAAAATTTAAGTATTGGATATAGAGTGAAGTGTCACAATAGTCCCCGACTATTTAAATGGGGCAATTCTAGTCCCAGAATTTATAGAATTGTCAAAATAGTTCTAGACTATCTTAAAATTGAGCTCTAATAATCCACCGTGGGAACTATTTCAGCCCCAATTTAAAGAGTCTGAGAATAATTTGACATTTCTATAAATTATGAGACTAAAACAATCTCATGTAAATATTCCATGACTATTTTAGCAATTTACTCAGTAGATATATAATTGCATAAGAATTGTTTCGCATGCATGTAAATCCCCATTTTATAAAAAAACTATAAGACAAAGTGTTATATTTACATAAAAAAACATTGTTATAGTGAAACATATGTTATTGTAGATGATGTAACATGAAAATTTGCACAGGAGCAAAAATTATTTTTCTTAGAGAACTTTACATATTTGGTTGCTCTCTTTCACCATATCTAATTTCTCTCTTTTCCTCATATTTATGTTTGAATAACACACTCTACATGGCCCTAGCATGCAAGGGCTGTTGTCTTTAATAATTTTAAGAGAGTAAAGCCCAAAATAGTTCCCTCACTATTAACAAGTGCCCAATTTAGTCACAAACTTCTCCAATTTAGTCCCAGACTATTAAAATTTGTTACAAATTGATCTTAAATCATATTTTCAACTAAATTTAATGGTGAGCAACATGAAATTGAGGGGTTTTTTATCTTTTATGTAATTATTTATAAATATATCTTGCATAAAAATTACTATGTTGTTTTATTGGATTTAGGTTGAATCTTGCTTAAAACCTAATTAATATTGCTCAAATATGATTAAAAGCAAACATCACAAAATCTTAAAGCTCATTTCTCCACCATTTTCTACTTTTAAATCCAATTAAATAATTTACTTTGCCACATATTACATATTTCTTCTTCGATGAATTGCTCCTCAACGCAAACTTACAGTGTCGTATTTACTTGATCGAGGTTGGAGCTTCTCCAATTCAAACCGAAACAGATCGAAGCCCCCTCTCTTTGCAATGAAAGATGGTCGAGAGGGATGCGCAGGCGCTCGGATGGAGACGATGTCTTCTCATCCATGCAAACACCACGGATGTCGACGGGGATAGAGGTTGCTCCGCTAAGCGGAGAAGCAGCAACGGAGCACTCGCCTTGAGTTGCTTCCTCCGTCGATGGTGAAACAGGAGGGGAGAAGTCGCGCTCAAATGGAAACGAAGCTTGTCGTCGGCGCAAGCAACGTGGATGGAGACAGAGACAGAAACAGATAATGCTCCGTCAAGTAAAGAAGCAACGAATGAGTACGTGCCTAGAGTTGCTTGTTCTGTCGATGGTGAAAGAAAAGGGGAGAAGCCGCACAAGTGGATGAGCATCGAAGAATTATGTTTAAAGTGAGACTGCTTTTCGTATGAATCCTCCAGTGAGAATTGGCGTGCCATCCGTGTGTTTAATTCGGAAATTTTGTACATAGATGGAATTACCCTTCAAAATGTGAGAGGAGTTATTAAATTAAACAAAAAGTTTTATTTAGGACCAATTTGAAACAATTTTTAATAGTTAGGGATGAAATTGAAACATTTTAAAACTCGTGAACTAAATTGGCACTACTTAATCTTCCGAGTACAATTTGGAGCTCTATGAAGTTAGGTAGTTTGGTTAATGTGTATTTAAGAAAAACTAATTGTAGATGATCTAATTGGTTTCTAACCTTTTAGCATCTTCAAAAAAAAAAAAAAATTAAATAAATAAGTGGTGTCGAGCGAGGACAAGTGAGACTTATGAAACATTTAATTTAATCACTCAACATACTAAAACTAGGAAGAAATACATACATGCTACCTAATTCCTATGTATTTAGATATCTAATACCTAAAATTCAATTTTTACATATATGATACCTCACCTATGCAAGAAAAATTGTATTTCACTTTTAAATGTTATAGTGGTATTTTTTATGTGATATGAAATATATGGGTAATATAAATGTAAAAAGTAGACTTTAGGTGTTAGACATGTAAATACATATGAATTGGGTGCATGTATGTAAACTTTTTAAAAAATTGCAAAAACATTAGGGGCATTTGCATACATAACACTCAATTCGTATGCATTTGCATATTTAAAAAATTAAGTTTACTTTTTACATTTATATCACTGAAATCTTTCATATCACATCAAAAATAGCATTTCTTGAACTTTTAAAAAGTGAAATATATCTTTTTCATGCAAAGGAAAGGTGGTATATATGTTAAAACTTGAAGTTTAGGTGTTAAATATGTACAAACATATTAATTAAGTGGTAGATATGCAAAACTTCCAAAACATTAATGAAAAATTTACCCCAAAAAGTTCCAAATTTCCTCATGAAAAGCGTGATATTTTTGTCCAAAGCAGATTGTGAAGCTAATGAAAGGTCCATAAACTGCTCCTAAACACTAGTAAACTTCTTTACAACCATTACTTAATCCCAAATTACACTAACAATTCATCATTACAATTAACCATAAAAAATAAAAAATTTACTAATAATGCATGTGTTCTTGATATGCGGCATCAGTAATGCCTTGTATTTGAATAGGACATCAAAATCTAAATCTTGAGGCAGATTGCCAATTGGTATTATCTAAGTTTACCTTAGATTGGCAGGAATTCTAAGGTCCAATCAGTGCTGAATTGTATTGTGATTAATGTATTAAAATATTATCTAGAAAAAAAGGGACATTTACGTAATGTAACTTTACTTGGTACATTTATACAAGCCAACTGTTTCATATCACATTAAAAATAACACTATTTTTACTTTTAAAAAGTGAATACCCCTTTTCATGTACAGGTAAGGGTGGCGTATATGTAAAAAACTAAAATTTAGGTGTTAGATATGTAAATATATAGGAATTTAGTGATAGGTATGTAAATATTCCAAAAATAAAAAACAAAATCAAAATTATGCATGACTGCAATTGTTTCTATTATAATTAAAAAATCTACTATGTTGATGCAACATCAGGAATAGTTAATGGCACTGCTTAGCAAACTGGCAACCCATAACAGCTTTTCGTATAATTGCAGATTGATTTAAAGCCATACATAGTCTTACATTTTTTCCATTTCAGTGTTGTTCAATCCTACTTTTGGCAAATTATCCCTTCTCAGATAAGGGAATCACCACCAATAAATATTTAAATTGGTAATTTTGGATATCTCTTCCACATAAAATACCATGGATTTGCACATATATCCACTGCAAAACTATAATTATAGCCGAGGTAACAAATGTAACCATGTGAAGATAAACACTTACTTGATAAGATATTGAAGAGCATAGGTCCGCACACTTTAAATGAGAAGGCAGAACATAATCTTCATGGGTAGAAGCAGAAGCAGTTAGTCACCCTGAAGTTTACAAAAACCAGTCAGTCTTGCATGCAGTTCCCTGTAAAAAATCCTGATAATATGAAAAAACAAAGTGCTCAAGTTTTCACCAACTAGCTGAAATAATTAAACAGGAAGGAATGTCTAATAATTAAACAGGAAAGATTTTCTAATAATTGTATGTATGTCTCTGTGTGTATGTATTTTTCTATATGCGTATATGGATGTATGTATGCTCTGTGTGTATGTATTTTTCTATATGCGTATATGTATGTATGTATGTGTGTGTGTGTGTGTGTGCGCGCGCGTGTGTTTGTATGTGTGTGTGCGTGTGTGTGTGTGTGTGCGCGCGCGCGCGCGTGTGTGTGTGTGTGTGTGTGTTTGCGAGCACGCACAGTGAGGATATCTAGTTGTTATATTAACCACTGTATAAACATTATCCAAACTATTCGGGTTTGGATTTACGATTCCTCTCAAATACTGGCAAAGGCTAACCAATAGCAACAATTTATTATATCTAGATAGAACATAAATTTTGTATGGAGTGCTATGGAGTGCTAAGAAGCCAAAAAAAATGATAATTCATGCATTCATAACCAATTTAAAATACCTGGTTAAACTAGTTCAACCAAAACCAAATAAAAATAACTGAATTAAATATTGGGGCAATTATATACACAGAACTCAGAACATTGCTGCTTACAAAATTAGCACAATTTCATCCATTTTTCAAATTGTTATTAAATACCAAAATTTACTATAAAATCCAAACCCATATTTACACATTTATCAATCTCCTAGAGGTGTGATCAAGGCACGAATAAATACATGAGTTCAAAAAAATAACACAAGTGCTACTTTTGTATATGCAAAAATTTAAGTGATATGTATGTAAACAAAAATCGAAAGGATTTCCACTTAATAGATTGTTTTATAGCTTCATGGATAAAAGTTGGAGAGCTCATATACATCTTCATGACTTAGGCATGAACTTTCCTATATGAGCTGCATATATTACATAACAATTGTGGAATCTTTGCATAATCATTCATAGCCAAATTAGTGTAAGTTTGGTTGAGGGGCATATGTCCCCTAAAAATATAAAATCCATCTAATTCTATAGAAGATTTTAGATTACGCCCTCAATATTATTTATGTCTGTGATAAATTCAAAGGAAATAGGCAATAGTCTATCTTGTAACAAATTTAAAGTGTCTGTGGATTAAGCCCTCATGTATGCTCGCAACAATCTCTCTCTAACTCTCTCTCTTAACTCTTGCTCTATTTTTCTCATCCTTTCTACCCTTCTCCCACTTTCATTCTCTCTCAATACAAACAAAAAGGGCCATAAAAAATACATTGGAGAGCAGAAAAGAAAATAGGAAAAACATAAAAAATATAATAAAAGAAGGAAACAGGGAAAAAAGAAAGCGAGATAGAAATATTGTATGTTTCGCTCCTCACCACAACCTCATCGACTCAAAATTGTCATCATCCTGCAGTGAATAGACTCATAGAGTAAGCTAATAGAATCTTATGGACATGACATTGAAATGCAAATTGAGAAGAAAAACAAAACTTAAAATGTATGTGCTACAATAAAAGAATAGTATTGGAAAAATATAAAAAATAAATGACTTGAAAAAGGACTTGAAAGCCTTGCTGCAAGCAAGGACGGAACCTCCAACTACTCCAACCACAATAAGAACCCTATGAACTATGCACTGGGGCATTTAGTTCGCTGAAAAGGAAATTTGAGTGATTGAAATGCAATGTAATTAAAATATAGAGTATTTAAAATGTATTAAAATTAACTGATTAAGTGTAAAAAAACGTACGTGATCATTTTTGGAGATCAATTTGAGGTAAAATTAAATCAATATATAATTTGATGATAAGTGGTGGTCAACCATGGGTGACGCCAGCAGTGGCAAGTGGATTTAACCGGAGGAGAAGACAGAGCCTCAAAACCAAACAAATTCATGTGAATCGTACCCTAGCATAATGTAGAAAGGAAGAGAAAATTCATGTGTGACCGATTTGTGAGTGAAGTTTATGGTTTTAATTATATAAATTCTCTTTTTCAAATTAATTAAATGTTATTAAGTTATATTAAATTCTATAAATTAATATTAGTGATTATAAATTATAAATTTGTTGAATTAAAAGTTAAAGTCGATCGTTTTTTTTAAAAGAAGATCGAGTTTGGTGATTGTGCAAAAAAGAAGAAAGCTAAGCAAAGTTAGTGTTTTATTTTAAAAAGGTAATTAAATTAAATAAATATAACTTAATATTAGTATTAATTGCAAAGCTTAAACATAAAATTTATGGATTTAAACACTTAATTAAAATGACGAAAGTATAAATTTAATTATAATTAACAAAAACATGATTAAGTAATGTGAGATAAAATTATTAATATATGTTACATATTATAGGTATTAACTTGAAAAAGGTAACAAAAATTAAGAGCAAGAAAATCATGCAGGCTTGAGGTAAGTAATTATGCTTTCAAGTTACAATACTATTTCATGTTTTTAAACATATTCATGTTTACAATTTTTCACTATTATGTCCTTTATTAATAAAATTAAATCATATGTGCTTCTTCATATCGTTAGTCATGGAGTATGCATGAAAAAAATTGTTGTCTTAATAGTTGCATGATAGTTAATTTAAAAAAAAATATCTGATTATTAAATGACCCTTATGTTCTAGTAGAGATGTATATGTTAGTTTATTCCTTAACTAGATGTATAAGTCAGATTAATACTTGACATTTTTAAAATTCTAATAAAGGTGCATCTAATAGATTATCTTATGGTCTTAAATTCTAATAGAGTTGCATTATTTTTTATAGATAAGTACAAGTTGTCATATATGAAAAGAACATATGTAATTAATATTGAAATAGTGTATATATGAATGTTTGTTTATGTGTGTTAAAAGGAAGAATACACCCTTACAGTACAGGCAAGGGATGTCAATGTACCTGCATACTAAAATCCCAGACATTTGTGATGTTTGGATCGTTAACCGCTGTGATAGTAGAATATCGGTTATAGGTGTGCAAAGTTATATTTTGAGAGTACTCCTAAGTCAAATGTGAATGTTAAAAGTATAAAATAAAACTAAATAAAGATTAAACATTAAATGATACAATTAAATTTAATGCATATCGAAGTTTAAGTTGTTTCCATTGAATAAATATCATGAATACATACATTAGGTTATTATAAGATCTTTTATAATTAAATATTAAAAATTGCATACATATTGCTTTCTTTTCTTTGAATTACTGTAATTTAAAAGTATGATTGCTTCCAGGTTATCCTAGAAAACTCATTATATTGTTTTATTATTTTTCCAAATTAAGGTTTTGATTAAGATTAATACTAGAGGAAATAATATTTATAGAAAACGATTAAAACAGCCTGACAGGCACCTTTTTATTGATTCAATTTAATTATTTCCTTGGGTTACTTTTTTAATTAATAAATGGATAATAAATTATTAGTAATAGAAATAGAACAATATAAAACTTAATTTCACCATCCAACCGTATGTTCTCGCTTTAGTAAATTATAAGCCCCGGGCCGGGTCATAAGAGTCATTTGCATAAATAAAGTGATATTTTTTATATCTTCATATGCCTCAAAAAAAAGATTGATTTTCTCATTTTTTAAGATTTTGTAGAAACTTGATTTCAATGTGGTAGTGAAAGTAGTAATGTGATGGTAAACTTTTGTGTATATATTCAGCTATAGTTGATCCTTACATCCTTTGTCACCGACTGTAAAAATATTGAATGCCTTGAATCCACACATCAATTAACTGCATTGTTGATTGTTGATTGTAAGCCCACAATATTTGGCTATTTTACTTCCATGAAGCTAGCAATTTCTTCTACAAGAAACAATGCAGAGTATGTTTTGTGGAATTCATGAAGAAAGCTGACGCTTGAGTATAAAATAGGACATACCTTAAAGCAATAACTTAAACAATAAACAATATTCTTAATAATGTTATCTTATGGCTTCATGCATTCATGATATTAATTTTATAGGGAATTTTACATACATATCACACAATTCTTGCGTCTTTACATATCAAACACCTAGAGTGTGGTGGTATACACTTACCCTATGCATGAAAAGGTGTATTTCACGTTCAAAAACATAACAATGGCGGTATTTTTCATGTGATGATAATGTTTTAGGTGTTTTAAATGTAAATATGGAAGTTTAGGTGTTATATATGTAAATACATTAGAATTGTGTGGTATTATGGTATATATGGAAAATGCATTTAAATATTTCAAGGTAAAACTAGCCCGAGTTAATTTTCATAAGAGCATTGGCTTCTAGATTTACTGCAAAGTAAGTTGAGAAGGTAAAATGTGAATCACCATTACTTCCCTCCTTGACAGCATATCAAGCTCAGTCTTCAAAGGAGAGCCCTCATGCGCATTGCTCTTTCCATAAAGCCTCTTCATGACTATCTTAGCAATCTGCAACTGTGTCTTCGAAATAATCTCTGTCCTCTTCAGCTCCATCTCCCACTTCTTAATCTCCGCCTCCGCCCTAAGCTTCTCAGAATCCCTAAACATTTCCATCCTTCCCTGCTCAATCTTTAATATGGATTGAGCCAGCAACTGAATGCTCTCCGCCATCTCATTCCCCAATCTCCTTCGCTTCTTCAAAATCCTATCATCTGCAGCCTCCTCCTTAAACATCCGAGCACTAACATCACTATCACTCCCTCCACTCTCCTTCACCTCATCACTAAATTTCTCTCCAACAAAACCTTTCCCCGAACTATTGGATCCATGTTCCCGATGTCTTTCATGCAAGTTTCCATCTCCCGCATCCGCATCAACCTCCTCCGCCTTACCTGGAACAACCAGATTGACGTTTTTTTTCCGATTACAGTTCGAATTTGGCCTGCTAGGGCAAAGGGTAGCGGCGGCCTTAAGCAAACCATCCATGCGAGCGAAGAACTGCCAGGAAGAGCATGAACCCGGGTTTTCAGCTGCTGCTGCAGCCTCCGCGCGGTACCGTTTCTTCATGGACTCGATCTTGTTCTTGCACTGGCTAGGCGTCTTGTGAGCATTCGAAGAAGAGTATTGGATCGAAACTTGGCGAGCGATATCCTCCCAATCGCTACCTTTCAGCTTAGCGCGATTGCGAAATAGCCACTTGGACTCATAGATCTCTAAGAGCGACAGTACTCCCCCTTCACTCCACTCATCCCTCTTGCCTTTGGTGCCGTGGGGCAAGGTGCCATCCATGGCGATTCACAGCACGGACTTGGGGACGACGAGGGGAGATCATGGTTGGAAAGAGCTCATAATTTCGTGGATTGGAGCAGAATTTGATGGGAAAGGCGTTGAGGAGAATCGATTGGAGGGAGATGGAGCGCTGAAGTAGAATCGGGAATCGCTGGCGCGAAGAGCACCGTACAGATGGAGGACACGTGGAAGAATTTGGACCGTTGAATGAGGGCGGGTGCTTTTTGGGCGCAATAGCGCGGGAGTGGTTTTTGACGTCATGTGTGCATCGGTGCATTAATTAATTAAATAAATTTGAATCTTTTTATAACTTTTTAAAGGGCCTCTGCATATATACTACCCAATTCTTATGTATTTACGTCTTTAACCCTCAAAATGTTTTTTTTTCTAATTATTTGAATATATTGTTGAATGATGATTACCATAATTGTCTTGTGCTTAGAGGGCAAATTAGTCTTAACTGTTAATATTGTCTAGGGCAAATCAATTTGGGTGTCATTTTTCTAAATAATATATATTTAAATACAATGAAAAATAAAATGTATGCAATTGAAATATTATATAAATTTTAATTGTGTAAGAGAATTTACATTTTTTTTTTTCTATATTACATCACATGCAAAATATGCTAATTAATTTTTTTTGTAAATGCACATTAAGCTTTAGATGTGTAGAGAGCTTGCAGGAGACAAGGAATCATAATGGGAGGAGCTCTATAGGAGAAAGAAATTGTGACACGGGTTTGTGAGAGAGAGGACAATATGTCGTGATGCAGTAAAGAATGAATGATGGATTGAAGTTTGTATAATAGCTCGTGATGAGAGTTTGTGGGAGAAATGGAATCGCAATGGGAGCTCTATGGGGAAAAAGAAATTGTGTCACGAGCCTGTGAGAGGGAGGGCAATATGTTGTGATGGAATAAAAAGCGATGTTTTCATGAATGTGGCATTGGAATTCGATTGTTTTTAGCTAGCTTCAAACTTTTCAATTTTTAATTCGATCGGTAATTTCTTCCTCATAAACATTTCATCTGTCTTAAGATTCGTGTTGACATATTTTATATATTTGACATAAGCAAATACGACAATTGCCATTTTTTTTATATATTGACCCTAGGTTCACCGGTATGGTTGTTAGCACGGGAAAAACTCCCTATTTATGTGTATATTTGAATGTTGCATTTTGCATGTCGCATAACACGTCACTTCGTCCTACCGCCTCAGCACAGCGAGCATTTAACTTAACTTCGTCCGACCACCCCGATTCGACAAGCACTTCACTTCGCTCCGACCTGCCGCCCCGACCCAGCGAGCATTTCACTTCACTTTGTCTGGCCGCCCCGGCTCGACGAGCATTTCAATTCACTTCGTCGGCCGCCCCAGCTCGACGAGCACTTCATTTCGCTCCGACCGGCCGCCCCGGCCCAACAAGCACTTAACTTCACTTCATCTGACCGCCCTGGCCCGACAAGCACTTCACTTCGCTCCGTCTAGCCTCCCTGGCCTGACGAGCATTTCACTTCGCTCCGTCTAGCCGCCCCGGCTCGGCGGGCATCCCACTTCATTTCAATTGGCTTCTCTAAGCTGGTTTGTATGACACTTTGGCTCGACTAGATTCCTCGACCTAGTCGACCAACACTTACACCACCATATTGTCTTGCATGTGTGTTTGTAATTTTGCATATCGTAGCACATATGTATGAATACATTATTGTATCCTGTCTTGCATCTGTATGTCTGCATGATTATGATCAACTGCCTGAGTTGCACATTCTCTGGTGCATTGCCACTATAACATGTCCATCTTTTTTGGGCCGCCGTCGCCATGGCATGCTCATTCCGTCAAGTCACTTCCCTACCGACACACCTCTTGGGGTCGTTGTCGCCACGTTATGTCCATCTTTTTGGAGCCCCTGCCGCCATGACATGCCCATTCTGTTAGGTCACTGCCCTACCGGCATACCTTTTGGGGTTGCTGCCACCACGACATGCCCATCTTTTTTAGGCCCCTGCCCCTATGACATGCCCATTCCATTAGGTTACTGCCCTATCGACGTACCTTCTGGGGCCACTACCACTATAACATACCCATCTTGTTTGGGCCACTGCCACTACGGTATACTCATATTCGTTCGAGTCTCTGCCCCATGACATACTCATCACTTGTGTGTTTTGATTAATCATCTGCATTTGCATGTTTGCATGAATAACGAGCCATATTCATTAGAATAGTGGCTCCCGTGTTGGTCGCGATGTTTTAAAGAGCATTGCTTGCCGGGTCAATCCCGATGAGCAATGCGAGTTAAGTCATCAAGATTGACACGATTATGACTGTGCTAAGAATTCAATGGATCTAAATAGTGTCATCCCCTTTTGTGACATCATTTATATTCTTTGGATCCTTATGATGGGGCTGGTAAAGCGACCCCGTCAAAATCATACCATATCCAGATTTACCCCACTTAGATACTTAGTTGATGCACTTTTTGTTAGATGATGTGCTAAGCTAGGGTTTATGATGCTATGTAGTATTTTTGACACCTGTGGCTATTGTTGTCTGTTGTGTTGTCTTGCGCTAGCCATGTGTCACCTTCTTGCCTTTTTTTGGTGTGCTTACAAGCTTTTTATGTGTGATAGTATATTAGGGTGATCTTCTGCATGTGTCGTGCTTATTTCTACACATTCACACATGTGCTATTAGGGGGGAGCATGTAACAGTTTCTAATCATTTGCTTGTATGCGCTATTTAGCTCCCCTTAATTATAAGATACAACTTGTTATTTTGGCAATGTATGGCATGCCCGTTAACATTTGTTTTATGCAGGTCGAGTCTTTATTTTCTATTTCAAATGTATTTGATAGTGTTTTAAGAGAGTCTGTGTTGTAAATAAGGTACGGGTACGAGTTTCGAGGCGGATGATACACCGAACCATGTGACGAGGACTAGGAGCAGCAGCTTGCGTCCCGTACTTTCAGTCCGAATTTTATATTTTTGTATAGGCTTAGGATCGGACATATATATGCAGAGTCCGACTGCATTTATTGTTTTTACTGGATTATGTTGTCGGTCCAACGACATTTGACATGTTTATATATTCTTTTAAGGTGTTTTTCCTTCTATATTTCTTCTCATATGCATTTGCATGTTGGAGCGTTTTATATTGTTTATTTCTATGTACCTGAACCTCATGAAAATGCAACCTAGGCTCACTAAGGACCCTAAAATTTTAATTCTTCCTATATAAAAAAAATCATAATAATAAAAGATTGAGATAATTAAAATTTTAGGATTAAGAGATTCGAGATTTTTCAAAATCAGTCTTTACTTTTTCTGCATGGTCTTCGGGTTGGTTTTAAAATGGTTTGCATGCATGGTCATAACCTAGTCATATTTAATAGAGCCTCCACGCTTAGAAATGTGGTAGATAACTGCATCATACTTGCATGTCCCGATGACTCGCCCCCTGACCGCAACTTTATATATGCTTAAAAATACAAGATAAATATGGACGTAATAAATATTCAATAATTGTAAAGTCACACTTATCAACGCAAGTAAACGTATCACTCAAGTAATAACTCAAGTAATATAAGGCTCTAATCGGGCTTTAATTGAGTCCTATATATCGATCCCACAGGGAGTGGTTTAGAAGTGCGAACTAAGATTTTAGAAAATCAATACTTTAATCACAACAACGAAGTTCAATTTGTTTATCTGTCACTAATAGACAATTAAAATAAATAGGTAAATTTAATAACTATTAAATAACTAATGATACTAAGGAGGGTCTAATTGTGATATTTAATATATAAAAAAGCATCATTCTGCTTGTCAATAAATTATAGTAAATAGATAAAGTAAATTAGTTCAATTTATATTGTGCCAAATTGGAGCATATCTATTCTTTACCCTTTGGTCCAGACATAAAAAACATTGACTAATTCTACGCTTGTTTACTGAATCTGCAGCTAGGCTGGGAGTATACCGGCTCTCACTTCGGAGCTCCCACGTTCCCCTTGCCTGAGGGCTAACATCTACACTTCAGCACCGAAACGATAGGACCGAATTTTAGTCTGTCACTCTAAAATCTCCAATTCTACGCCCGATAATAATATTTTCTTATTTATTTGCACCCAACTTCCTAGGGCTTTGACCTCTAAGAATCTTGGATGTGATCTTCACTTTAGTTGTAAAACTCAACATATTTTAACAGATCAATTGACCAGATTGAAAGTAAATTAAGATCGAAGTGAAAAGATCATCACAATTTCTAAACATTTTTATGGTTTCACCAATTCAAATCACCATTTCACAAATCTCAAGACAAGGAGAAAGACAGAGAAACCTACTCATATCTCATGTGGAAAACACAACAAAGCTCATAATTCATATATAAAATCAAAGTCATACAAACTGCAACAAGTAAATAACTTATCTATAGTTTCTCCCCAAGAACACTCCTCGAAATTCCTCTGAATCTCTTTCTTTCTTTACAACACACAGAATTCCTCTTTGAAATAGGAAGGAAGAATAAATCTCTCACTTTCCCTCAACTCTTACAATCTCTCGAAGAATTCCTCACAATATTGGAACATTGGAACATTCTAATCTCTAGGAACTCTCTCTAGCACCTCTTTTACTCCCTAGATTCTTTCCCTCCTTCTCCTGGCTCTCCAATTTTCGGCCAAAATAGTCTTTTAAAGTTGTGGATGAGCTTTCCCAAAAGTTGCCTAAGCATCCCTTCAAAATTTGGCCTTATCCAAAGCTTGAGTAGGCATAACCGTCAAGCTCGCCATTGGCAGACTTCTGAGAATTTTGTCTTGTAGCCTTGGGAAAAACTCGTCGTCAGCAGGGTCGAGGGCGCCGTTGGCAGCCTAGTTCAAATCTCCACATTTTGGTCATTAAATTCGCTCCTTTTTGCATCTTTTTGCTCAAATGACCCAAATTTATCATTCCTGCAACAAAATATCAAAATATCTTTCTTTAAAGTGTATTATCATGAAAAACAATATAAAATAAGTATGAAAATCTCAACATATTTTCCCCTAGTCACCCCCGTGCTTTTCCAATCTGACTGACTCAACATAAATTTGCATAAGTGGTTATCCAGTACGTGTAGGGTGTTAGGAGGCTTCCCGATCCACACGAGATATAAGTCTTCTTGTTGGAGCGTTTACAACTTTATAGCTGAAATTCCGTTTTTTCTTCCTTCCTGAGGCATCCTCGCCACTTCGACAGGTATAAGTCTCACCCCTTGACGCTCCAATTTTTAGTTATATGATAAAGTTTCGTTCCTTTGACCTTAGGGCTACCGAGATTCCTGTTGATGACGTAATTCACAGATTGTTGACCAGGGATCTCAGATTGTGTTGGGTCGACTATCTTCACGACCAGGTAGACTTAGGGTCATAGTAGTTTGGGATGACGGGTCCATGGTAATTCGACCTGACTACCTCTACCTCCTATAATTACTCTTCCCTATCTTTTGACTACCCCTATTGATCCACTTATGCTCCTTTGACTTCGTTGATGTCATTTTGACAGCCTGATGCCGATAAGCTGCCGCCTGTTCGGGATACGACGATTTGTCCTCTGCCCTTACGATCCGGATGTGCTATGACGTATTGGGATACCCATGTTCAAGTGATTTATGGTTATTCGTAGGTTTCGTGAGCTGAGAAGCTGCTACCCATTTGGACGTGGGAGATTCACTCTCTGCCTGATGACGCAGCGTGAGCTTCAAAGCATCGAGACCATTCCATATGAAATAATCACCTTTTGATAAACTATACCTCAGGTTCATGATGATAAGGTAAAACTCCTTCCATCGAGAATTTTCTTGGGTATCCCCCGAGATGTATATAACCAACAGAAATACGTTCCTCTGGGAGACTTTTGACCCTGGAAAAAAAATGTTCTTTTTGGTTCTTTGGTTACAAGTGGCTTATATAGAGATTCTGCTCGTGGATGTTGTTTTTGAGATACTTTGATCTGATTTTGTTTGGACGTATACTCTCGACCCATCACACGAGGATTATCCCTATATAAGCCATTCGTTTCTTTTCTTTTTGATTTGTTTGCCTATTTGTTGTTGTACGTTAGTTCACTATTCGATTCCTCTCCTATTTGAGTCATTCATTTAGTTTTGGAGAAAGACTTACTCGAATAGGGAAATTATACGACGACATACAAAAAGACAGACTGACGACTCCGAGATCTAAAAAGAACCGAGAAAAACACTTGGTAAATTGTTAAATCTGCTAATTAACCCGCAATGTAAATTTATGAGAGAATTAGTGATGAGTCTAATCATACTCACTAATACACGAAGTCAGTTCATATCATATTCACACAGGCGCCCGTTCAATGAGCACACCGTCAATAACTCATCAATGCGCCAGGGTCTACAATAGCTTGTCGATGCCACCTAAAAAGTTGCACGAAGATGCGACTAAGAATTCATACAAAGACAAATTTAGGCTATACACTCTTACAAAAAGTCTTACAATATAATTTAAGTCACATATAGTGTTACTTCTCAGAAGCATCATAAGATACAAATCAATGCCACACAAGATCATGTATTTTATAATATTTTCATCTATATATTTAACCAAGGCACCCCTTCATATATAAATAGAGGTCACATCAATCAAATAAAAAATAGAAACAACGTGAGAGCATAGCCTTATTTATTAGTTTAATTTTAGAAAAAGTTGCATACGTGAAGTTTCACATTAAAGGAACATAATTGCCCGCTTTACCTTTTATGAATTACTGAATACCTCAATCGCCACTCCTCATTCGCGGGAGTACCGAATAAAAATTCCATTCGCGGACGCTGCGCCCAAATTTACCCCGTCTCTCGCTTCTCAGTCTTCTAGGGTTTCAAATCCCTTAGGGTTTCAAAACGTACAAAGAAGCAAGGCGGTATGTATTGGAATTCTTCTTCTTTCACTGATATTGCAAATTAGATAATGAGGATTTCTGGGAAAGTTTTTTCTTCCCCTCCGACAAGGTTCCTTTAAATGGTATATTGATTTCCGGGTTCCGAAGCCTTTGCCTGTGCAATGGCCTAGCATCTCAGTCGCTAATATATGCATATATAATTGAACCGTCTTCATCCGCTGAGGAATAAGTTAATGTTGTTTTCGATAATTTTTGACATGCAAGCATTTCCTTCTTTACTTAGTTATTGCTGCTGTGTAGGAATTTTTTGGCTATCTTTTGAATGAAGGTTCCATTAAAATTTCTCTCTCTCTCTCTCTCTCTCTCTCTCTATATATATATATATATATATATATATATTCAGTTTTTTCTATATTTCGGAGGGAGGGAGGTTGTGCCTAGAGAGGGGAAGAGAAACAGAGAGAGAGATAGAGAGAGAGAGATAGAGAGAGAGAATGAGGGAAGGAGATTCGCACTACCCTAAACATTGATATTTTCAAATTAACCACTCGGGTAATTTTTTTGAACTACCGAACTTTTGTTATATTTATGCATGCCATGATCAAACTATGGAGAATTGATAAAAATGAAAAATATGAGTTGGGTCTTTATCATAAATTTTGATATTTGAGAATTTGAAAAAAATGGATGAAAGAGGGTACATTGAGTTTCATTAGTAAGAAATACAACCGGATGGATTGAGTTTCATTATTTTGTGATGGTTTAACTATTCTTTATTCATGCAAAACTATTGGGATGATCAATAGCATATAGAAGGCCTTTAAAAAGTAGTGTTTTGCCCATGTATTTTACAAATAAAAAGCGTCAAGTATGTGTAAGCCACAATCAACTCTGTTTTTTATTCCAAACATTTGAAATTCTGTGCATTTTGAAATAGCAAATATTTTTTTCTTGCATCTGGAATAATCCGTTGTAAAAAAATTGATAAGTTTTGCTGCCGTTTAATGATAAAATTATCTTAAAATTTGTCGAAGCTATGAACATCATTAATTGTAATGATCTTAAAGAGAATGCATGACTTTGATTATTTGATTGGGTGCACGATGACATTTCTCCTCTTAGGAGAAGGAAAATCCAACTCTCTCTCCACACGCGCTCACCAAAAAAAAAAAAAA